GATAATAACCTTTATATACCAAAAAGACAGTGCAAATATGAGTATATTTGGAACTGAAACACTTAAGAGGGTGATGCTTGAATCTCAAGTGATACCATACCACAATACCCGATTGGCAGTTTATTTATTAATAATATAAGGCTGAGGTTTGTTTAAAGGAGGATTTATTATTCTTTAGGAAATAAGTTTGAAACTTTTATTCATTATTATGTGTTTTGATATTTCTTAGTTTCACTTAGTGGAGAATTTATTTTGGGTTTTAATTATATAAAATGCTATTTACCCCCAAAATCCGAATGTCTATTATAGGTACAAAATATGCTGTCAGAATTCTTTAAGTTTTTGATGAATAATTAATTGACTGTATACAAAAAAATGTGATAAATGTCTAAATTTGCTGTAAATTAAACCTATTTGCAAAGCTTAAACCTTCAGAACTAAAGCTGTGGTTCAAATTAATGTTGAAAAATTCTCATACATTTACCTAAATTTATATTATTTACATGAAATAAATCCTATTATTATTTAACAGTGATACAATCATAATCCAAAGTATATTCCAAAAAAAAAAATTGATAAAAAACCTTTATATAAGCCAATGATGTAACATCAGCACATGCAATGATCTGAGATATTCAACCAAGTTTAGTCCTGTTTTTACATAATTTCTAATGCTTATTCGGATTAAGTTTACACTTTACATAATATTTTTGGAATTGATAACAAACATATATAAAGTAATTATGAATAAATAGGATTTTTATTCAATAAATTGTTGTATGATTTGCCATTTTTATTTCAATTTTGCATTGTCCAGTTCCAATTACTACCAGAAAGTTAGTTATCCACAGTTTTCTTTATTTTTAAGATTTTTTTTTATAATTATTAGAAATTTTTAAGTAGAAATTCAACATAGTTCGACAAATCAACTTTCTTAATGTTCTAGATCTCTCAGACGGATTGTGTATATTGGATGATTAAGAAACATTTTATTGTAAACAGAAATATTGTAAATGACAAACAAGTATTTTTTTAAAGATCAATTAATGTATAATTAATTGAATAAAAATTTAAATTATGCATGGTAATTGTATTCTTTATGTAGTAAATATACATTATAAATGAGCATAATATAAGTGGTTATTTTTAGTTCTTTTAAGTGCTGTTTGTAATTTTGCAAAATATATATATACTAAATAAACTTGTGTGAAAGTTTTACACATTACAACCCAAATATACTATTAAAAAAATAAAATTTGAATTTCAGACTGTTTTTTTTTTTCTCTCTCTCTTCCTTTTCTTTGATACAAAAACCAATATAATAAAAATAAAATAAAGATAAATTAAGGAATACATATAACAAAACAATAGTATCTCTGTTATTATTAGCAACTAGCCAGATCAAAGTGCGTGCAGTGTACCCTTGTCATCTTTGCTCTTCAATCTGGCCATTGACCATCTTTATCTGTGCAATGAAGACTTTCCCAAGAAATTTGGATATAATTTAATTAATGACCAAGATTCTGTGGTCCTCACAGGTTTCATGGATGACTAGGCTGTGTCGGCGCGAGACAAGGGGACTGCAGAAAGAGTGATTGACAGCGTACAGAGGAAATTTCAAGAAATTGGTTTAGCTATAAATCCTCAAAAAAGCATGGGCATCGTTCTAAATAAAGGAGAGCTGGAAACTGCAATGCTCTCCCTTGAGAATGGAGAGTACATCCAAACATTTAAGAATTAAAATACTATTTAAGTATTTAGGATGTACATTCTCAGGAGAGCTACAATTCAAGGAAGATTCAGTGACTAAATCGAAAGAAAATCTTAACAAGCTGGTAACCTCTTGCTTACTTAAACCTGAGCAGAAACTCAACATTGTCAATCAATATCTGTTCCAGGGTCTTACTTACCCTCTCCAAACTGCATCCTCATATACCTGCACCCTCAATACCTCACAAAGCTGTGTTCTTCCATACTGGACGGCAGCGAAACCATGATTTGTAGAAGCGTAAAGGCCATTATTGGACTCCCTGCAAATACCTCCACAATGATGTTGTATACCCCCAGGAGATACTGAGGATCGGAATTAATCCGTTGCCAATGAGATGCTCCTCTTCAACATTGGTCCATTGCTGTTCAATGTACCAGATGCCCTTCTCCAATCTACTTTTGATTATTTGGCTGAATGTGCCGAGAGATTGGGAGCTGATCAGGGTCATTGAAATGTGAGAGCTCTAGAGCAGTTGCTACGAGAAAATTCGTTTGAGGAATGGGCCAACTGCAGATGGCAGTGCATTGATGTTTGTCATTTTAAAGAGACCCTGAAAGCAAAAAATACATGCACGAAAAGCAAGTACTTTCTGTGTCTGAATGGTCGAATGCCCTGAAACTAAACATTAATTATGCAACCATGCGTGAAGTCCTAGGTGTCAGTGGGCAGCTCAGAGAAGTTGGGTCCCTCTGTCGTAAATGGGGCAGAGTCTGAAACACTAGTCCATGTGCTAGGAAAATGGTCCAACAACTCCTAACACACCGGCACCATAGGGCAAGTTCCATTTGCTGAGGCTCCTTAGGGAAAGGAAATTCACCTGCTTTGACGAGGTCTATTGCATCGATAGTGAAGGCTCTACAAGATATGCGGATATTGTCAAATTTTCCAAGACAGGAAGGACAGCACTTATCTTGGATCCAACTGTCCACTTTGAGAGCAATGAAGTGAAAAGGGAAAAGAAGAACACATATGATAAATGTATCCCATTCCTAAAAGAGAAGCTCCGAGAGACCTTCAGAGAGAGAGAGAGAGTTCACCGTGAGAGGCATCTGGTTTGTGTTTTGCGGAACGATACCAAAAAGAACAAGGAACTTCCTTGAGGAACTATATGTTCAACTTTAAGAACGTAACGAGGTTGGCTTAAAATATAGTCCTTGACTACCTGGCAATAATTTACCTCCACGTGCATGGGTAGGGTGAGAGTTTTAATTTATTTATTTATTTAATGAAAAATTTGTATCGTATTTGTTTTATATTAAATTGTATTTAATTCTAGATGTATAAACACTTTTGTTTTTTGTTATTGATCTATTCTAATTTTAAACATTTTAATACTGTATATAAGAGAGATGTATAAAGAGAGATAAAGAAAGAGAATGGAGAGAAAGGGAAATTGAATGTAAAAAAAAGAAAGAAAAAAAAGCATGAACGAGGAAAGAAAAAACAAATTATATATATATATATATATATATATATATATATATATAAATATATTATACTCATATATATACTAATCACTTCTGTATATTTATATATAAGTTTTATTTATTGTTCTATGGATTAACCAGTATGCTGTGTGTTCAGCAACCTAATATAATTGGGCAGCAAGCTTTTATATTTTATATGAAAATAAAGTGTTTCTCTCGATACTTCTGTCTCTTACTTTATTTCAATCCTTAACATTGGCTTATTTTTTTTTACAAAATCCTTATTGTTTGTTAAATTGTTTTTGTTCTTGGTTTTATTTACACTAATTGTTTATTAATTCTTACTTTTGGTATACTTACTTTTTTCATTGAATTATAACACAATTACCATATTTCAATGTTTTTTATTATTGTTATGTGTATATAACCGTTATCTCATTTGTACATTTCACCTTTCTCTTCTCTTCTACTTTTATATTTATTATTTGTTTTTATTCTTCACTCTTATTACTATCATCTTGTTAGTTATTCTTATAATTTTTTGTTTTTAGACCTGATGATGACCCACGTGTTTGAATCAAAACGTCGGCTAACTCATAAAAGCAATTCTTGACAATTTTTTCATCATGATAATTTTTAATGATTAGTTAAAAGAAAAATACCATGAAATCTTTCATTACAATATAATTAAACAATATACATTCCTGTACACAGTGTTCTAAAGACAAATTAATTTCTATAACAATAATTATAACTAATAAACACTACTGACATTTCATCATTTATATGTATATGTACATTGGTTGCAAAAATAGTAATGATTCCAATACGGAACAGAGTTTTTCAATTATGTTAGAAAATAAATCTAAAAATCATAAAAACAGTTTTATACATCAACGTAAAGCGGGTTAGATTAAAAACCAACTTCACATTTTTTTTTTTTTAATTAAAGTAATATATACCATTATTATCTCTAAAAAAAATAATTCATTCTATCTAACTAAATAATTGACCGATTTCTACCCATTATTAGAAATACACTTTAAAAGAAAAATAATTACTAATAATTAATATAAAATAACTAACAATTCATTGATTTTCAACAATAAATCATAACTAATTTGTCACTAAAAATAGATGAACTAGTAAAACCTACTTAAATTAACTAAATCAGGCATCACTTTATGTTTTGCGCTCTAATTGCGAAATAAATACCTGATACAAATACATATAATTCTTAAAATATTTTAATTAATAGAAGTCCAATATCACATGTTGATTTAGTTTTGATTAAAAAAAAATATATATAGTTAACAAATCTGGGGAGGAAAAACATGCAGTAAGAAGGTACAAGGCGTTGAGATCACAGAAAAAGAAAATGTTACAGTCGGTACATTTTTCCGATATTATACATGAGCGAATTTCTGTCGATAATTTAAAATAATATGCTCAGTAAAGTAGAGATTTTTAAATATGGAATCTGTCCAAGATTATCTAATTAAAAGTAGAGAAATTTAAAAAAACTAAAGGCTTTTAAACAATAAAATGAATTAAATTTAAAAAACAAATTATAATGAGAAATCTTCAATCTCTACTTTACTAATTAGTGAAGTCAAACATGCAAATTTGGAATTTACCACCACAGTGATTTTAAAGTTATTTAATCTACTAAAAATGAACACAGTTTATTAAGAGCTAAATTCTATTTCATTTTAGACTATAAATAAAATAAAATTACAACTTTGAACAATATACGTCTAACAACTGGAAAATAAAATCAACTTTCAATTGTAAATATAAAAAAAAAAAAAAACGAAGAGTATCAGTTATGACCCAGTCAATATTCAACAATATATCTATATACACATATCTAAAATTAAGTACATAACCATCTCAATCAAGTTAGTGTAAAAATGAATGAAAAAAAAAAAAGAAGTTTTAATTCACCTTCAAAGTTTTAATTAGATTTAAATGAACAACAGATTTTCATCGAAAGCTTCACAGGAATGACGACATGTTAAGAAAACAGGTATGGTATACATATATTATATATATAAAAAGAATGGTTTCAAGTCCGGAAAAAAGTGAAGGTACAATACGATCAAGAACGACCAAGTGCAGAATCCGTCTTTGCCGGTGGATTAGGAGAAGCAGCGGAATCAAGGTGAGGCTTATGTGCTCAACACAATCGGCGAACCGTCTGTCTTAACCACAGCCAAGTGCACTACACCAATCTGCAAAAGAAATAATAAAAATTTTAATTTTTATGATAAACAACTCCATTAATGTTATCTATATTTTTAGTGGGACTTATAATATATATACTTATTATATTTAATCTATAATTGATTATGTTCTTAATAAGACCCTTATTTCTTCTCACAATCCTTTATTCGTATTTTATACATATAAAATTTTTCTTTTTATATAACGCTTCGACCTTTTGCACCATTTTCAAATTTATTAATTGCACATTTTTATACTATCCGTCCACATTTATATAATTTTAAATCAATAATGCAACTACACATAAGAAATATTCAATGATCCTTACCGACCATCTGCAACAAAAAAAAATCGGGTACAGTGTACATATCACACAACTTTCACTTACCACCGTTTTGAAGAAATAGGTATTTTCATACACAGAGAAATGGAAGTAAAAATCTGGTGTGCACAACACACAACTTTCACTAACCGCTCTACTTAGAATTTTCTGGCAACATTGGGCTATTATATTTTTAAATTGGATTCTTAATGGATCTACAGCCTAAAGCTTATAGCTAACAAATTTTAAGATCGAAGAATGTTGTAATGGAAGCTTATCTATAGACAGAATTACCATTAAGAAGTCCATTACTTTACACAAATACATAAATATGTCCTTCGATGTATATATTGCAAATAGTAAATAGTACTGGTATGTTTTTCTTTAAAGAAAAAAAAGCATTGTTTTAATTCCATTTTGTTTAAATTTTATTCATTGCACTTGTTTAATTTCAATATAATGACCAGTGTCGTTATTGATAGTCAAAGGTGGATGAAGTTTACTCTTTCAATTGTTATAAAATATATCCACTGTAATTTTTTTTCCAATTTGAAAAAAATAGTTACATACTAAAAAAATTCCCCAACTTTTCCCTGTTTTGAAAATTCTCTGACTTTTCTCATCTTTCCGGGTTTTCCTATTTGGTCGCCACCCTGACATGCAGAAAATCAGCTAAATGACTACCGTTTCTGGACCAGCTCAACTGATGAAAACATTCATGCGGTTTGTGACATTCTTGAAGATGATCGACAAGTAAGAGTATCAGAATTGTCCCCACCCAAGCACACTAGAAGCGCAGGTACGATCCTGCCAACTATAGATACTTAGAAACAAAATCTTGCTCATATTTCATTCAACCTCATAGAAATTATAAAGTTTTACAACAAAAACTTACTTAAAACTTTGTTGAACTGAAGGTTGAATTCTCAGGTACTTAATTTTATAGTATGAATAAGTGTTTGCATTGTATTAGATTGAGTTTTTAACTGATGACTTTTAACCTTCAGACAGTCTGAAACACAAACAAAATGAAATTAAGGAAAATATAGAAAATAATTAGTAGGTCAGAGGTTAGCTGAAGTTATTATGAATACATTATAGGTCAATATATACATAAGCAGATCATAAAAAAAAAAATGGACATATACCTCAGAATGATCATGGATACGCCAAAAGACAAAGACATTTTCTGTCATAAAATCATTAACCGAGACCAGCCCACCGAATAAAATCTGGAAGTGATCGCACAGGCATGTCCCTACCCATCGCCTTCAGAACCAAATTCCTGTCTTCAGTCAGAAGAACAACATCACGATAGAGCTTTCTCCTTCCACCTAGAAACATATAAGAATTATCAAGAGGTAAGGAACAATAGAAGTTGCATTTCTTTGGCATAAAATGACAGTAAAAAAATAATTAAATCGCAGAGTTATGTAACCTTAAAATTAAAATAAAAGATAAGCATAAATTTTTTTGTTTTTTTTTTTAAGGTTTTTAAGGTTATTTTTTTTTAAAACTTCCATTTTTCTTTAGTCTTTTTTAATCACATCTATTACATCTGATGTTTCGGGACAATTTTCCCATCCTCAGAGAATCCTTTATTACTTTTTTACTGAAATTTTACATATTAAAAATGAACTATTATTACATTGTTAATTTATTCTATTTATTGTCTAATTATCTACCTTGACTTTGTAATGTGGCACCAATTGTCAAAAATTACAGTAATTGTCATATCTATTTAAATATAATACTTTTTGGTGTTACACATTCATTTCTTGTTCATTATTACACCAATCAACATCTGGCTACCTCCAGTCCCATTACTGTACTTTGCTCCTGTCCACTTATTCCTCATTATGGCTGCTTGTTGTGATTATATTGTCTATTATTATTTTTGAATTTTAATATTGGATATTATGTCTGAGTAGTGGGTGCCTAAGTGTTTCGTATCCGTTTTATAATTTACTGTTTTATCATTATTTTTTGTTATGTATAAAAATAAGAAGATAAATTTTTTGTTTTTTTTCGGTTGGCACTACAGATGTTATAGATATTTTGACGTCTTAACAAGCATACTCCATCTCTGCCTATCTTGGGGTATTTCTTTTCAGTTATCTGCATACAACTTTATTTCATCGTTGTTGATTCAATCTATCCATGTGCTTTTTGGCCTTCCATGTGGTCTATTAAGGCATTCCTTGCCGTGTAGAGACTTCCAGATGGATTGCTGCGAGCTACATGCTCCGCCCAACTTACCTCCGTGTCTTCATATCATGAGATATTGATTGACCAGTAAATGTAAAAAAACTCTTTATTGGTCTTTCTTCTCCATGTGTTAGTATTCTGATCCCAGATCACTCCAGTTATCGTGCGATGGATTTTTCTCTCAAATCTTTCAATACTTTTATCTAAGGCACTAGTTAGTGTCCAGGTCTCGGAGCCATATATTTGAACAGCCTTTATCATAGTAATGCACACCCTTAATATTTCTTCAATTTTTTTGGGGATTTCAATACATTTGAAAGGGAGAAGAAAGTTCTGTTTGCGCTAGTCATACGCTGGTATATTTCTGACCTTTGGTCATTTAATGTGGAGCAGAGCAAGCATAAGTAAGAAAATGAAATTATCGATAAATAAATAGCAGTATGTTAACATAATTTCAGACTTAAGCAACATGCATAATATACAGTGATAACTGTGAAATAACAGTAAAATAAGTCTGACAACACTAAATAAGAAAATTTAATTCTTCTATATATTCAGAAGATTGTTGAGGAGATGGAAAAATAATTTATCTTTAAATGAAGTCAAAGTTAAGGATTTGCATAAGGAATTCTAAAATAAGATAGCACGAATGATAAAGAATTTTGTACCTATAATAATTCTGTGAGAAGAAATATACATATTTGTAAAACTTACAATATAAAAAAAAAAAAAAACCTGTACCACTAACAAGCCATGAAGGTTCTTGGGTTCAGTACTATGTGAGCAAGTACTGTTACATGGTGAACGGTTCTACAGGGAGTATACAGGAATACACAGGGCACTTGTCTAGTAAGCGGACGGGATCGACTGCTATCTGTCAATGTTTATAACCTTAACACTGATAATTCAGATAAGCCTTCTTATAATTGCTATCTTCATATTCATATTTATTATATTATATTCATATTATTGAAATTGTAAACAAAAACAAATGTAATAATAAAAAAACACTTTTATTTTACAACATATATATGAAATAGATGAAAAAAAAATGTAATAATAACAAAACAGTTTGATTTGAAATTGAAATAGAAAAAAAGAAATGTAATAAATTCCCACAACAATAAGAAAACAATTTCATTTTACAATATATATATGAAATAGACAAAAATAGATGTAGAGAAGAATAGTTGGGATGGTCAGTCAAAAAGGAAGGCAAAAATAAATGATAATATTTATTTTTACATATGCCGACGTTTCGACCTGAAGTTCAGGCCTTCATCAGGGCTAAGAAAATAACCAGATAACAAGGTATGAGAAACATAAGTAGTGATGGTAAAAAATGAAATAAAAAAAAACAATAATAAAATAAAATAAATAAATATAAAGTAAAATGAAATTGTTAGAATAATGACTAAGAACTAAGAGATAAATAATAATAACCGTTACAAAGTGTGGAATGATGAAGTAGGCGTAGTAAAAAAGGGTGACATAAGTGTTACAATGGGAATCTTAGAATAAAATGTAAAACATAAAAAAGAAATATGAAGTTATATAAGAAATGAAAATAAATAGTAAAATTAAGATATTGTAAAGTCTATCAAGATGTACAGACAATGTATAATATAATAAAGAGTTAAGAACAGAGAACAGGAATGAAAGGAAGGAGGGAAGAAATTGAGAAAGCTGAAATATGAGGGTAGGTAGACTTCAATAAGGAAAAGGATGTATGAGGTTGGGTGGAGGGTTGTACATTAAGTGCTTGAAGAGCTGTAGATGAAAAAGAAGAGTTGGCATGAGAAATAGTGGTTTGTAGTTGGGTTATTTTCTTAACCCAGATGAAGGCCTGAACTTCAGGTCGAAACGTCGGCATATGTAAAAATAAATATTATCATTTATTTTTGCCTTCCTTTTTGACTGACCACCCCAACTATTCTTCTCTTCATTATCCACGACAGTCAACCAATTACCAATTATAAAAATAAATGTAATAATAAAAAAACTTCGCAAACTCTGCCAAACATCCATTGTTCAGGTAGAACTCAACATGATTTTTTCTTCTAATTTTGAAAATATTCGATAGCCTCTTCTTTTGAAGACGGCAATTCCCACAATGTAATAACATCCATAATTTGAAGAAAATCACAGAAATGAAACAAAAATAAACAATGGAATAACTCACAGCTTACACGAGACAAGAAGGGAGGTTATGTGGCATAACATTAGATAACAAGGGAGGTTTCGTTACGATCGCTTACTAGACAAGTACCATATACAGTTTAGTAGGCTGGTTTAGTATTAGATTAGATCTCATGTTTAGAAAATCAGCAAAGGAACAAATAGTAGACATATCAAGAAATCTTTTTGGTTGTAAAGATTAAAAAAAACAATACACCTAGGAAATATTGTTGTTGGAAAACTGGATAGAGGCATTGCAACAACTAATATACCAACTATTATTATTATCACCGTTGACTCATGGTGGAGCATAGGGCATTTATTAGTATATTCCATATCGCCCTTTTTACAGCAATCATTTTTACTTCTGGTCAATTCTTGCAAGCATGGCTCAGGTCATTTTGAACAGATCCGCACCATGTCTCTCAAGGTCTTCCTCTTTTTCTTGTTCCTTGGGGATTTCATTGCAAGGCTTCTTTCTCGGTAGCACTATCTGTTTTCCTTATAGTTTGTCCTATAAGTATATCCATTTCCATTTCTTTTTGCTTGTTTCGAAGTGGATAGGAAGCTGCTCTGTGGTACTCCAAAGCATTTCTCAGGCCACCAGATCCCCAGGATTCTTCGCAAGCAATGGTTGATGAAGATCTGAAGGGGTCGGGTAACGTTTTCATTCAGTCACCTTCCATGTTTCATTGCCGTAGAGTAAAACCGATTTCACGTTGGTGTTAAATAGGCTTATTTTTGTTTCACACATTATAAGTTTGATTATAATAAATTACAATCAGAAATAAAAATATTAAAGGAAATCAATGGACTTACCTTCTTTTATTTCATCTTTATTGGATGTTTTACACAGATTGACGCATGTGGTTAATATTTTGTCATCATTTGTCATTTCCTAAAAAAAAGAAAAAAAAAAAAGTTGATTATTGAAGAAAAACTACCAATAGGTATTTTATTTTTTCACTTACTTATACACAAAATGTTTAATACCGGAATGTATTGTGATCATGAAAAATTTCAAATCTGAATTTTCAACTGAAATACATATTTTAACTTTCCCTCAGTCCTTAAATGTGTATATCAATGAACAGCATAGCCCAACAATATAAGACACCGAAATTATGAATGTATAGTTGATTTTATTGTTATTTTTATATTATTTATTATTTATTAAGAACCTTCCAAGCCTCTTAGATAATATAGATGTATGTAATCGCAAGATGTTAAGTATGTCAGCATAACTATTGTGAGTACAGCTCAATCATCTGTTCTGGATTTCTTCATGTTCTTGATTCAGAGTCTTTTCAATCCAATGGTCTTCCAATAGATTGAAGTGGTCTGGATCTTTTTTTTTTTTTTTTGGATCCTCCTCTTCCTTCCCTTTAAGGCTATACGGGGTTCTTCCGGGGCAGGGAGTGTGGGCGGGGATTCAAAAGACTCCCCCGGCATTGGGATGTGAACTCGGAAATATTTTTCATCGTTGTCTCATATGTCAGGTTGCCGGGCAACGGCGGTGCTGTGGACACTCGTTAGCCTATTCGGCCACCCCACCCACAAGTGGGCTGGATCAACTGCGGTACACAAAATCTTTGTAATACCACAATCTTTAGTTTTCCACAGTGACTAACTGAGGGAGAATGTAGAGACCGGATTCCCTTCTTTCCTCAATATTGTTTACTATTGAATTAGTCCGTGGTACAGACTATTTTATTTACGAAAATTCTTGGATTTGGGACATTTTAATCTGGAGGTCGCTAAGCTTTGTCTATTTGGTTATTTGAATGTAAAAAGAAGCATTACTGTTGAAAATTTTTATTAGAAATTTTTCACGATTGCAATTCTATCTCTTACTATATATTTCACGATTGCAATACTACCTTTTACTATATATTTCATGATTGCAATACTACCTCTTACAATATAGTTCATACACAGGTCTGTTCATTGAATTGATAATTAAAACAATCAAAATTTTTATCTGGAATTTTTAATAATCATTTGAGGATTTTTATTAATCATAAGTGACAAAAATCATATTCCAATCATTATTTTTGAACAAAATTTTTACAATAATAGTAATTCTTGAGCAACAGTTTTTTTTAATCAAAAAGATAATTTTTTATAATCTCTGATATATTTTGAGTTTGGAGTAGCAGATGGAGAATATTGCCAACTAATGGCTACAGAATATCTTTATTTCTTTTATTAGAAATTCATTAGAAATTTTGGCTTCCAAAAAAAAAAAAAAAATAATATATATAATATATAATATATATATATATATATATATATATATATAATATAGTGCAGGTTTCACATTATTTATTAATTCAATTAAAGCGATTTCAGAAATATAATATTAGCAAATGAGTACATTAATAATTTTAATCGAATAAATAAACATGAAAGATTCATTTAAATTTTATTTATGAATCAGGTAAGATTTTTAAATTAAAAATCAAATACAACAATTATTACATGATTTTGTGAAAAAAATATTATTATATTATGGATTTCAAACCCTGGGTTTGTGAAAGAAAATTTTGAATTTAGCTATATTACAAATTTATCTTTAATTTGAAATAATTATTAAACTTACGACTCCTGTGTCCTCTTCATGAGTAAATGTCGTAGAGGAGAGAATAGTTCCACGAGTCGTGCAAGTTCTCAAGGCAGGATGTTTTTTCTGGAACAAAGCCATTGCTGCCTTCGCAGTCTCCCGAACAAGTGCAGAATGATGAACGCTCTGACTGGGTTTACAGCCACGAGAGAGACCTTCTAACTCGTTTACAACTAAAATTGATTAAATATGTAAATTTTTTTTTTAATTACATTAAAATATATATTACATCTGACAGATCAAAACTGAAGAATACTGACCGACAAGAGGAACCATGAGGACGTAAGGATGCTGCGGATGGGGAAGCACTCTCAGAACTGTTTCCAATTCCGGCAAGCACTCGATAAAACAATTTGTGTCTGGTACCAGGTCATGAGGCCTAATTTCCATTTCTGTAAGAGCATTGGTAATACGAGCCATCTGCAAAATGATAAAAAGTTTTATTGATATTATCTAAACATAACAAAAGTAATAGGTTGTAAATAATCACATAGGAAAGGGTTAGAATGACAGTGGTGTGAGTCTCATTTACTTTTTGTACATAAACTATAGCATTTCCAAGTCAATTTCAACCTTTTCCAAATCAAATTCAACCTTTTCCAAGTCAAATTAAACCTTTTCCATTTCAAATTAAACCTTTTCCAAGCCAAATTCAACCTTTTCCATTTCAAATTCAACTTTCGAATTTTTGTCAATTTTCGATTTTTTTCGAAATGAAGGCCACTTACTATATTAACGAAGGTATAGCTTTTGAAAAATACAAAAAAAATTTTGATAACGCGGTTGCATATCCATTTATTTTAACATTTTAGATTTTTTCAGTGTGATATTTCTATGTCATTTCCAAGTCAAATTCAACCTTTTCCAAGTCAAATTCAACCTTTTCCAGATCAAATCAAACTTTTTCCAAGTCAATTCAACCATTTCCATTTCAAACTAAACCTTTTCCAATTCAAATTCAACCGTTTTCATTTCAAATTAATGTTTTAATTTTTTGTAAATTTTATATTTTTTTTTTAAATAATGGCCATCCCCTCCTCCCCTCCAATATGAAAGCCTATTATTATGCTCTTCTAAGTAGAATTTTCACTTACGGATATCGATTTATTGTAACTATTCGGATTTATTAGGGACTAGTATTATGCTGTCCTGTACCTAGTTTTGAAAATAACCTCCTTTTTAAGATTACGTGACTGAGTTTCGAATTATTTAAGTTTTTTTTTAATTATTCGATATAAGGGTGTATTTTTATGTTTCCCGATCAGTAAATTTTGAAAATGACCTCCATTTTAAGATTAGGCCACCGCGTTTCGACTTATTTCAGTTTTTCGGATATTTTTCATATGAGGGTTTATTTTTATGTTTCCGGAGCTGTAGATTTTGAAAATGACCTCCATTTTAAGATTAGGCCACCGCGTTTCGACTTATTTGATTTTTTCGGATTTTTTTCATATGAGGGTGTATTTTTATGTTTCCGGAGCTGTTGATTTTGAAAATGACCTCCATTTTAAGATTAGGCCACCGCGTTTCGACTTATTTGAGTTTTTCGGACTTTTTTCATATGAGGGTGTATTTTTATGTTTCCGGAGCTGTAGATTTTGAAAATGACCTCCATTTTAAGATTAGGCCACCGCGTTTCGACTTATTTGAGCTTTTCGGATATTTTTCATATGAGGGTTTATTTTTATGTTTCCGGAGCTGTAGATTTTGAAAATGACCTCCATTTTAAGATTAGGCCACCGCGTTTCGACTTATTTGAGTTTTTCGGATATTTTTCATATGAGGGTTTATTTTTATGTTTCCGGAGCTGTAGATTTTGAAAATGACCTCCATTTTAAGATTAGGCCACCGCGTTTCGACTTATTTGAGTTTTTCGGATTTTTTTCATATGAGGGTGTATTTTTATGTTTCCGGAGCTGTTGATTTTGAAAATGACCTCCATTTTAAGATTAAGCCACCGCGTTTCGACTTATTTGAGCTTTTCGGATATTTTTCTTATGAGGGTGTATTTTTATGTTTCCGGAGCTGCAGATTTTGAAAATGACCTCCATTTTAAGATTAGGCCACCGCGTTTCGACTTATTTGAGTTTTTCGGATATTTTTCATATGAGGGTGTATTTTTATGTTTCCGGAGCTGTAAATTTTGAAAATGACCTCCATTTTAAAATTACGCCACTGCGTTTCGGCTTATTCAAGTTTTCCAAATTTATCCAACTTAAAGGTCTACTTTTATGATGCCAGAGCCTTAGTTTTTAAAACGATTTACATTTTAAGATTAGGCCACTGTGTTTCGGTTTTTTTTAAGTGTTTTTGATTTTTCCTTCGAATAAAAAACAAAATATGAAGGATTAATCTATTTTTCAATAAATAAATAAAAATATCTAATCAAAATAAATAAAATATGTATTGTCTCATTTTTAATTTAATTTTAGTTATCTTTTTTAATGTTGTGGTCTCCTGTCACAAAATTATAAGATTTCGAACAATTAGCTGAAAAATCTGAATACGGAAGGTTAAATTTATTACCAGCTGCTTTTCGGCATTTTAGTTTGTATTCTGTGGTTAATTTAACTTTAGCTTCATGATATTTATTTATTTATTCATACTCGAAAACATATTGATGAAACTTTGTATTGTAAAAATCCAAAATGAAGCCTAATTATTCGAGATGCAGCGGCTTAATCATAAAATGGAGCTTAAATATTAGATAAATTTAAATATTAAAGATTAGAAAAATTTCAATGCGTCTCGGATAACATATAAGTAGATTCTTATACCGAAAAAGTAAAAAAGAAAAAACTTTTATAATCCAAAACACAGTGGCATAAACTTGAAATTGGGTCATTTACAAAATGGGGGAAATCTGCTGCTCCAGAAACATAAAATTAGACCTTTATACTTGTTAAATTCTAAAAACTTAAATAAGTTGAAACGCAGTGGCGTAATCATAAAATAGAGGTCATTTTCAGAATCTACGGTTCCGAAAACATAAAAGTAGACCTTTAAATTGGCTAAATTCGAAAAACTTAAATAAGTCAAAATTCAATGGCGTAATCATGAAATGGAGGTCATTTTCAAAATCTACAGCTCCGGAAACATAAAAATACACCCTCATATGAAAAATATCCGAAAAACTCAAATAAGTCGAAACGCGGTGGCCTAATCTTAAAATAGAGGTCATTTTCAAAATCTACAGCTCCGGAAACATAAAATTACACCCTCATATGAAAAATATCCGAAAAACTCAAATAAGTCGAAACGCGGTGGCCTAATCTTAAAATGGAGGTCATTTTCAAAATCTACAGCTCCGGAAACATAAAAATACACCCTCATATGAAAAAAATCCGAAAAACTCAAATAAGTCGAAACGCGGTGGCCTAATCTTAAAATGGAGGTCATTTTCAAAATCAACAGCTCCGGAAACATAAAAATACACCCTCATATGAAAAATATCCGAAAAACTCAAATAAGTCGAAACGCGGTGGCCTAATCTTAAAATGGAGGTCATTTTCAAAATCTACAGCTCCGGAAACATAAAATTACACCCTCATATGAAAAAAATCCGAAAAACTGAAATAAGTCGAAACGCGGTGGCCTAATCTTAAAATGGAGGTCATTTTCAGAATCTACGGTTCCGAAAACATAAAAGTAGACCTTTAATTGGCTAAATTCGAAAAACTTAAATAAGTCAAAATCAATGGCGTAATCATGAAATGGAGGTCATTTTCAAAATCTACAGCTCCGGAAACATAAAAATAAACCCTCATATGAAAAAAATCCGAAAAACTCAAATAAGTTGAAACGCGGTGGCCTAATCTTAAAATGGAGGTCATTTTCAAAATCTACAGCTCCGGAAACATAAAAATAAACGCTCATATGAAAAATATCCGAAAAACTCAAATAAGTCGAAACGCGGTGGCCTAATCTTAAAATGGAGGTCATTTTCAAAATCAACAGCTCCGGAAACATAAAAATAAACGCTCATATGAAAAATATCCGAAAAACTCAAATAAGTCGAAACGCGGTGGCCTAATCTTAAAATGGAGGTCGTTTTCAAAATCTACGGCTCCAGAAACATAAAAGTAGACCTTTATATTGGATAAATTATAAAAACTTAAATAAATCAAAACGCAGTGGCGTAAACATAAATGGATGTCATTTTCAAAATTTACTGATCGGGAAACATAAAAATACACCCTTATATCGAATAATTCAAAAAAACTTAAATAATTCGAAACTCAGTCACGTAATCTTAAAAAGGAGGTTATTTTCAAAAACTACTCATACGATAACAGACCCACACATCGAAAAATTAAAGATAATTAAATAAATAAAAAAAGGTTGAATTTGAAATGGAAAAGGTTTAATCTGAAATGGAAAAGGTTGAATTTGACTTGGAAAAAGTTTAATTTGACTTGGAAAAGGTTGAATTTGACTTGGAAAAGGTTGAAATTAACTTGGAAATGCTATAAATTTAATTCCTCTTAAAGAGGTAACATAGCTCCAACAGAAATTATATATTTAAAGTATGTACAGGCAAGGGATGACACAGCAACGTTTTCTCAAAATCGACTAACTGGAAGATCAACTAACTACTCACACTGACAGCATGAGCTCATTATTAGCAATTAAAAATAATAGCAATATAAATAAAAATAACATTTTGGCCAACGTTATCAAAGAATACTTTAATGCAATAAACAATAAAAAATAATATTTATGTGGGTCAAAGCGCACATGAGAATACCAGAAAATGAAGAGGTAGACCGTCTTGCTAAAACCCCCGTTAACTTCCCTCATGTTAAAGACATCAAACTGCCATATGGTAACAAACTGCCACTGAATTATCACATGTTCAATCTCCGGCTCACGGAGTTGTATCTCTGTAGGTACAGTGACCAGGAGGATGAAACGGTTTAAGATTCTGACCATTCGGAATTCATAGGGTGATTGATCCCAAAGCAAACGAGCTCATCAATCCAACAAGCTTATTACAATTCACTGAGACTGCAGGAATTACGCTCTAGATAGGAGTGACTTTAATAGAGGCGTATAATAGACCTTCATGACCACAGTGCATTCATGCCGCTTTAAAAAAAACAAAAAAACGGCCATGTACAGATTACTTTATGATGATTAAAGAAAATATGGTAAACAAATGGTCCCTTCCACAAGCAAATTTTATAAGTCAAATATACCGCAAATTCTAAACTAGCCCCGGTTCTTTGGATTAAACCTACCAAAAGATACAATTAAAAATTTTTCTAAACTTAGAACAAATGGGCTATACAAAGTATAGCTGCAGCACATTGGAGTTAAAAATTCATATAAATCTGATAAATGTAACCAAAAATAAACACTCCAACATATCATTATGGAATGAAAGGGGAAAAAAAAAGATTAACCAGAAGCAAAGCTTTGCATCATTGATTTAACATATTTTTATTATTTTCTCAAAAATGGCTCTACTTTGATTCAATTAATTGAGGCATATTAAAAATATTTCAGGACTGATAAAAAAAAATTTCATTTAAAAAAAAAAATTTAACAAATTTTTTTCGTTATTTTGGTGGTAACAAATCACTTTTAAAAAAATGTATAGAAAACTTTTTATGATATATTTTTACTAAACCGCATTTAAAATAAAAAATATGTTGGATGTACCTCAATTTGATCAGAAAATATTGATTTCTGGTTAGTTTTTGGTTGAAAAAAAAAGTCGTTTTTTCAAGACAAATCATTTCTTTTAACAATATACACATATAATTTAAATGGAGAGAAGAATAGTTGAGTGATCAGTCAAATAAGAAGGCAAAAATAAATATTATCATTTATTTTTGCCTTCTTATTTGACTGATCACCCCAACTATTCTTCTCTCCATTATTCACGAGAGTCAACCATTTACCAATTATATAATTTAAATTTTTTATTCATCCAAATTTTCATTGGTATCTTAAACATTTCAAAGATTCTTCAAGTCTCTGCCTTTTCCAAGGTTAAATTAATTGAATTTCAGGATTTTTTCAGTTATGAAAGATTTAAAAGTATAGTAAATATTGTTTTTGCTATTTTTTAATATTGAATGAATGAATGAATGAAACCAAATCTTTTGGTATTGATTTTTCGAGGAGGTTTTGAAACAAACATCTAAATACATTATTTCTGGTATTAAAACCTTAAGAAAAAAAAAAAAAAAATTTTGAAAAATGTATGCAACCGGTTTTGAAACCAAATGCCTCAATTATATTGATGTAAAATTAAGAGGTACTTAACATCAGATGGTATTATTATTATTATCATAGAAACAGTCTGACAGAACTTAAATGATGAAATTTCAAAATATCTTTCTCTAAAGTACCTTTGATTTGTTGATTTGAAGTAATTATCCATTTCACATTGAAACCAGTACTAAAATATAATCTATGCAAGAATTTTATTATTAACTAAAGGAGAAATACGGGCTCATAACTTCGGTCTCAGAATCTACAGAATAGTTTAGAGATCGGAAATATCTGAGAACACCCGACCTTTTCGCTTTTGCTTCGACTTTTCCATCTCGCTCTAAACTGCTCAGTATAGAGTTCGTATTATTATATATTTGACTGCTCAAACAGTAAGGATGTGCAGTAAAAAAATTAAGTTTATTGACATTTTGACCAAAACATGGGGTCATCATTCTTTGATTACATGTTGCTGCGGCCTTCAAGCCATTGCCCTGATGCTGACTCACATGTTTAGTTCCTATTATTTACTTTTATGGTACTGATAACATATGGTAATTACTTTTTTTTTTTTTAATATGTTGTATTGTCTATAATTTTTACATTCAGTTTCCTATGTATAAAAATACCTATTTCTACATTAAATAGGGTGAAAGTTGTGAGATGAGTTCATTGCATTAGAGTTTTATATATTTTACATATTAGATATATTTAAAGATTTAAATTAATTTAAGTTTCATATATATCGTCGGTTTATTATAAAAATTCAGGAGATTTTTTATGGAACTGAACTTTTAAAAACCTTTATATGAACTTCAACCCTATTTAGCTATAAAAAAAATAATAATAAGAGCATTAAAATGATAAAAATCCTTTATATGTCAAATACAGTCAGTCACAACAAACACTATTTTTTCTGATTTCACAAGTGGAAAATTCATCAAAATTCTTAATGAATTAAGTTTATGGAATGTCACTTAACTTTTTCCAATGAAACGACAGAAAATATAAACTTCATGCTTTTTAATTTATTTAAAATGATTTTTATCTTAAATGAATATCTTTAAAAACTATGGTGCTATGGGAGTTTAATGCAAATCTCAATAAAATAAGAAATAGACTGAGACAAAAATGCAAAATGGGCAGTCATAAAAAAAAAAAATTATATATATATATATATTAATGAATATCTCTGAATTCTGAACAATGTATTAACATAAGTAAAAAAATAAAATAAAAATGTTGTATGCAACCTTTTCGAATTATAGTGGTCACTTTGAAATGTATTGACCCTTAGTTTATAATAATTTCATAATTATTATAATGATTATAGAAAGAATGGAAGTAAGGAATAATGTACTGGAGATAATGGAAGAAAGAAGATTGAAGTGGTATAGACATGTGAAAAGGATGTATAGTGAACGAATTCCCAAATGGCCTTTGAGTAGGAGGCCAAGGCTAGAAGAAGGAGAGAAAAGTCTTGTTAGATGGATAGATGTGGCTTAGAGTATGGTGAGCTGAGGACTGACAAAGAAAGAAGCGATGGACAGGAAGAAGTGGAGAAACCGACTGAGAAAAACTTCAATTTATGAAGAAAATACTCTTAAATAAAAAAGGAATCTTTAAAATAAAAAATCATAAAAACTAATCCATACTTGAGATAGCCGATGAGTGGCTTGCTGTTGTAACTGACGTCTTCGAGCAGCTAACCCTAGAACCTCACCCTCGCTTTCTTCAGGACCAGTCTCTTTTCCGGAATCCTCACTTTCACTCCAAGTCTCGTTGTCACCTAACAGAGCCTGGAATCACAAAAAGAGAAAATGAAAATGAAGATTATGAAATTTTAAAAAAGTCTATTATTCACTTAATTATTCTTACCTTCTTTTCCGATATTTTTTACCCACAATAATAACAATATTACCAAACAATAATAATGTTGTGAAACAAAAAAAAAATACTCATTTTGTCTAGTTAGTCTCTAAAATCTTATAATAATATTCATTTTAACAGATTAATGCCGAAAAATAATTTTAGGTGATTTTATTTTTTAACATTTGCAAAAAATAAAATAAAAAAGTATGTGTAATATATATCAGTTTTATAACATTAGAAGATTCGTCAGGTCTTCCTATATCCTCCCTCTATTCATTCATTAATCTAAGTGTCAATGTATCTAAATTAATTTATCAGGCATGGAAAATCAGATCTTAAAGTTAAGCAATTTTTCAGTTTTTAGTCATCATTAGATCCTCAATTTTTAGTGTTTTTTTTCTTCCTGTACTGGTCCAACCATTTTGAGTTACTATAATTTAACTATCAAGTTTTATTCAATGACGATAAAGTTTTTATTGCACTATTTTTTTTTAAGAGTCTGCTTGGTCTTTCCATGGTGAAATACACATTTTAAAAGTTATCCCACCCACCACATAATGTTTGTTATTTAGAAAAAATTTCTGCTATCCAAATATATGGTTATCACATAAAATGGTGACGATTTCGGTGATATAGATATAGAAGGGAATACATCCAAACATTTATATATAAATATATGTTTAAGTATTCAGAATATATGATAATTAGAAAAGGTTAAATCAAGGAGAAAATTATGGCTAAGTTGGATGCAGAAAATAGATGTCATTTTTTTGTTACAAAATTACTTCACTCGTTACTCTTCTCGCAAAACTTAAAAATAAGACACAAAATTATTAATCTTTCCTAGAGTTCTTTACATTAAGAAATGAGCTTTGTTTTAAGGATTTTGAAAATAAAGTATTGCATGCATATTCAGACTAAAGAAAAAATCCTTAAAAAGTTAAAATAGTTGTGCCAACTAGTAATCTTCCGATGTACGAAAGCGGAAAGGCCTGTGTATGAAAGGATGAAGAATAGGAAGCAAATACCAAAACTAAATTATAGAAGTGAAAACATCAACAAGGTGAGATTAATAATATGAAATATAAATTATAAATAATAGCTCACTACAAAGAGGATGAAATAATGAACAATTCCCTCATTTACAGTATGCTGGTCCAATTTTTAATTTCTGAGATATATTAATTCCATAAAACTCGTTATCGTTTGGTTTTCCTTGTTTTTTCCCTTTTCGCCTGTCTAACGCAAAATCGCGTTAAGATACAATTTTGAATAGCCCATTACAGAGAGGATGAAATAATGAACAATTCCGTTGCTTACAGTATGCAGGTCTGGTTTTTAGTTTCTGAGATATTTTAATTCATATGCAAAAACACTTCAATTAGCCAACTTTACCCGAGCGTTACACGGAGATTTGACGGCTTTATCTTATTCACTCTACTCAAAAAAAGTGCAAAACACACCTAAAGAAGTTTTCACTTCAAAAATTGTAAATATTATTAATTTCTTTTCACGTTTAAAATGTAAATTTATTTGATTGTATCATGTATAATTTATTTGTTTGTATCAATAAAGGTTATTTCATTTATTGAAGGAAGTGAGTCGGCTGTACTAGCCAACTAGTACTACATAGTTGAGAAGATAAATAATTAGGAAGCAGTCATTTTGAGATTTTTTATTGTTGCTGACGTTTCAATTCAAGGCATGTTTGCAATACTGAACGCATTCACATAATAATATTCAAATACTGCCAGTACTTGCAAAATCTTCAGTTTTTTTTTTATTTTTTTTTATATATGTTGACTCAGGGCACGTCGACTCCTGAAGGGTCTATTGTGCGCCAATTCAGTTATTCGTTTATTATCAAAACGTTACTTTTGCTGCATCCGCATATCTTAGTAACCTGGTTGGATTGACTGTCTCATATCTACTGGGGAGATCCATTCGTTCCTCCCCAAATAGTTCCAGTCTCAGCCTTGCGAATCTATCACATCGACACACAATGTGAAAGGCTGTTTCCTCTCCTCTTGACAGAACCTGCAGAGCGGATTCGTCATTACTCGGAGACTGAACATATGGTAATTTTGCTTACAGTGGCCTGTATAGATTGCTGTAAGCTTTTTAAGAGCTGCTCTGCCCATACTCAGTAGCAGCTTGCTTCTTTTTTCACATAGACCTTTAAGGAACAGCTTCGAATGTCGCTGTTTCTTCTCAGTCCAGTATTTTTTAAATATGTTCCCATAAATCTCCCTAATCCTACTTTTGGCAGTGCTAAGGCTGATACCACAAACAGGCTCGGGAGTTACGGGAATGGTATCTGAGCCCAATCTGGCTAGTTCGTCAGCCACCTCGTTGCCTAGTAAGCCCGAGTGACCGGGCACCCACTCCACTGCAACTCTATTGTGCTCAGTCAGTTTGTTAAGTGCTGTGCTGCATTCCTTACCAATCTTTGAATACACATAATAATTGTTTAGAGCACCTATTGCTGCCTGACTGTCGGTATAGATTGTAATCTTTTTCCCAGTCACATTGCTTCGCAGTAGGTTTTGTACACAATGGCAAATTGCTAGTATCTCAGATTGAAACACAGAGGCATATCTACCAAGAGGTATAGAATCTTTTTCTTTGTTATCTTTACGATAGATGCCTGCTCCTGAACCATAGGCTGTTAGAGAGCCATCTGTATAACAATTGATACCATTTTTTGGTTTGTGTTTGCTGCTGTCAATCCCAACCTTATATTTACGGTCCTGATATTCCCGGATTAGAGTGTCAGAGCACATGGCTAGCACTTTGTCACGTCCAATTCTGTTCAGCATTACTGTGTGTCCCCCTTGACAGGGGATTACAGAGCCTTCAGTACTGCAAACATGTCCTGATGTTGACCCACATATTTGGATTGAAACGGCAATAATAAAAAATCTCAAAATGACTGCTTCATGATTATTTATCTCCTGTTATTTCATTTAATTTCCTCGAGAGACAATATACATATACTAGCTCCGTTTTTGCAGCTGGAAGTCCCTTGTTTTGAGATTATTCAGAATTGACCCAATGTTTCTCTTTTTATGACTTTCGCTTAAAGGTACTATTTCACTGGTACTGCCCACGGCAGCAACCTCTATTCACGCTGCTAACCGCTATTGCATACCTATTCTGCTTACTGGGGTTGTTATAACCTGTATATAACCTTCGAACATTTCATTACAACTTCGAAGATAAAAAAATGGACTAACTATCTCTTACTACTGCTTTTTTATTAGAAGAGAAAAAAGAAGAAGAGGAAATATTGTTGATATATCAGCAATATATTCTAATCAAGAAAGCGGGAAGAGTTTTATACGAAATTGATAACTATCCATTTGATGGCTGCTTAAGAGAAATTTAAAATTTTTTTTTTAGATTGAATAAATGTCAATTCAATTTTATTTTTAGTATGATAGAAAATGATAGTAATTATTATATAATTATTAGTAATAAATGTCATATATTTGTAATGAAATCTCTGCTGGCGATGTTTTATTAAAAGTAATCAGTAAATCAGTACTTTAATTAAAATATAAAATTGATTTTTCAATGTCTGGATTTCAGTATATACCTGATGTTAAAATTTGTTGGATTATTTAATTTATTTAATGTCGTTTGGAATTAAGTATATTTGAATTTCGCTGTAAAATACTGCTGGTGGAATAAATAAATTATCTTGTTGCTTCAGCCTTAAAAAAATAATTTTCTATTGTGTTGTTTAAGTTTTAAATAATATTTCTCCCTCCGAAGAGTCTGAAAAGAAGATGGCCTCGTGATCTCCTTATATAGACATGTTATTAGAGTGCTACCAGTGGATAGTCTTTCAAGCGTTTTCATGTGATTATATTTCTGTATACACATTTACTTGATGTATTTATATTGTAATACAGTTGTAACTAACTATCTTGAATAAATAGTTTTAAAAAAAAACAATATTTCCTATAATTTTGCCAGATTTAAAAGAAACATAACAGAAGGAGTGGGGTAGCTCAGTGGTAGGGTACTGAGCTTCCAATGCTAAAAGTCCCAGGTTCGAACCCCGGATCATGACAGAAAAATTATTTATTCTGTTTCATTAAACGTGGGGCGACCCTGAGTAGATAGACTCTCCTGAGGAACACCCAGCCTCTATACAGTTGGTACCCTTAATTAAAATAATTGGTTAAGGGGATCTGGCGGTTGAGCGTGATCTAGGCTAAATCACCTCCTTGCACAACCGTAGACCAAGAAACAGTGCTTTCCCTAAATACCCAAGCCCTTCATGGGTTGTAATAGTACAGATTTTAAAAGAAACATAGGAAATAAAATCTATGAAAGTGACTGTTATCATCAAAACAATGCTCCAATATGATAACATAGCCGTCAAACCGTCAACAGCTTCACTGCTTCAGGAGCGGTCAGATAGGAGCAGCCTAGATATGATGTCATAAATAGACTGGCGAGCAGCACCAACGAAATAGTTTCCTTTCTATTCCCCTAAAGCAGTGCTCAACCGCAAGCGATCGCTGCCGTGGGCAGTACTAGCGAAATAGTGCCTTAACCCAAATATTGCCTCTATTTTTGTACTACTACTATTTTTGGACAAAGTGTCAAATCTGAATAAGAAGGATGTCCCATTTCACAGTAACCTTTTATTTTCTTATCTTTTTTGTTTACTACTTACCTTTCCACTTCTAGACAGACGGGAATGATGTTCTAGAGGTACAACAACTAAACCTATTCTAACCAGAGTGGGAAAGTCGAGTTTCATTTCGTGGATCAATTAGGAAATAAATTTCAGCCCGAAGATTCTTTAACTGGTAGTTGGATATCACCAGAGAGATCGGGTAAGATGAAATTATACTGTGGTGAGTTGCCTGCAATGTTTTTTTGATGTGCCAATATCTAAGCTCCAGTATTATGGTACAAGTTTAACTTATATTTATTCAAGTTCTTGAAAAAAAGTCCATTTAAATGAAAATACACATTGGGCTTAGATAAAAGTTATAATTGATCTTAATTGAATTACACATGATTCTAAAGTGTCGTTTGTTTGAGAAACTAGAATAAAAGTCATTTCTTTTATAGACTTCTTAAGAAAATCAACAAAACTTTAAACAAATAAAAGTTCTCTGTAAAACCTTTACATGAAAGCAATCTTTCAAGTAAACAGGGTGGCTACCGGATCGTTAAAGTAAAATTTCCAGACATTTTCCTATTTAATGATAGTTTTCCCTAACCAATATGTCTGAAGACACAAATATTAAAAAGGTACAATTAATAAATAAATTTATTGATTATACATGAAAGATATTTGTAATGATGTAGAGATGGTTAACCGTTGATATAATATGAGAAGGAGTTAATTGAAGGCTGCAGTCAAATAAATACTAAATTGAACAAAATAGGATTATTTAATTTAGAAAGATATTTGTAATAAATAATGACAAAATCGGTTCTGAATATTCTGCTATCAGGGTTAATGCAGATTTTACTCGAAAAGACTGACAAATATTAATAATTAATTCACGATCCATTTGATGAACCTCAAACTAATATTACAAAGATTCGATACAAAGATCCTGCTCCTGACACAATACTGTTTTTTAAAAAATTACCTGTGAAACTGTCAGTGTTCTCTTTTAGTTAACCAACAAATAGAATTCAAAGCTTTAGCCGACAGTTCATGAGAATTATCATGACGCTAACATATTCAATACGTGAAACGCAATTTTTTAAAAAGTTATTGCTCGATCAGAAGCTACATTTCAAGATTGAAAAATGTACTAATAGACGTTTATCTGTAGACAGTATTGCCGTTAATTAGTTCATTACTTCATTAAAAAATAAATATGTCCATAGATGTATATATTACAAATAGTAAATAATATTGTTATGTTTTTCCAATCAAAAAAGTCCATTTTGGTTAAATTTTATTCATTACTCTTGTTTGATTTCAATACCAGTGCCATTATTGACAGTTGAAGATGGATGAATATAGCAAACGTGGTTGATTATAATGAAGAAGTTTATCCCTTCAAGGCCATAAACAAATAATAAACAATATCCATTGTATATTTATTTCAAATTTGAAAAAAATATTTACGTACTAAAAAAATTCTCTGACTTCCCATTTTTCTAGGTTTTCTAGGTCAGTCGCCACCCCGAGTAAAGGTTTTTCTTAAGAGAAAAGGTTCTAGTTCTAAAAGAACCGAAAAACTATTGACAATAAAAATTCCGATGATACTGAAACCTTTTAAAAAATTTTTTTTTGTTTTCCGTTTTAAGTCCTGATATTTATGATAATTTTGGTTATTAACTTATTTTTTTGTTATATATAATATTTCAAGTTTATATTTTTTTTATTGTGTTCATAAAATCTGAATTTATGGTTATACATGCCTACAAAACAGTTTCAACTAAAAAACCTAAGAAACTAAAATTTTATGGTATTAATTCTGGTGTCATGTTTTTTTTGTTTTTTTAATGCAACCTCACAAATATCCATTTCATAAAAAATAGATATGAAACGTAAATCGATGAGTTAGTATTAAAAACGCATCTTTATAATAATTGATGATACAATTTCAATAAATTACAATAAATTTCTTTATATATAATTGTCACAAAAAAACAAAACTATTAGTATAATCAAGGAAAAACAAATTGTTGCAAGTAAACAATAAATTTATTCATAAAAAAGAATTTAAATGCAGTGATGATTTTGAGTAACTTACTTGTTCTTGAGAACTTTCGGTATCGACGACAGAGACGTATTCCGATTCTCCAGACTCCGTCTTATGGACTTTAAGAACGGGAGGATCAATACCGCAAAGAAATACAGTTCCAAAGAAAACAAGTTTGTGAATTCTTAAGCTTATTTGCGCTAAATCCTATAAAAAAAAATTATTACAGTTACAAACACTTAATAATATAATTTACAAAAGAGAATATTCACTAATAAAAAATTTTAAAATATTAATTAATGATAATATAATATTATTATATACAAATGATCTAAAGCTTACTACACACTAGTAGACTTTGTTACACAATTTGTTTACAGACTGTATAGAGATGGTCTCGAGACACAGTCTATAGACAGCCTAGAGACACAATTCTTTGTCTCATCTATATTATGATGCAAATTTCTCAGTCTCATCTTCACAGCCCACCATGGAGGAGATAGTTTTGTGTGGAATGAATTCCTGCTTAGTGCTAATTACAAGTGAAAGAACGCGAAAATGTGAAGGTGGATGTAGAAAGTGCTCGCAGAAGGACCTTGGTTCGGTAATGCATTATTATATAAATTAGTACAGGGAGCCGCCACGGTAATCTTCAATCAATTTTGAAACTTTCTCGTTAGACCAAAAGTTTTCAAAAGAACTATAAAACTTTGCAAAATAACTGTAAACGGCCGAACCAACCACTTGGTAGCTGGTGCACACTGATACATGTCTCGCCTCTAGACGTAGAGTGACGTCCACACTATCAAAATTTTGTGGAACATGTCTAACATTGCATGTCTCGTATTCCGATCGAAGATTTTAGAACTGCAATTTCCGGTCTCGTAACAGCGTTGTAGACGGGTATTGGTCTATAGACATGTCTACAAAGACAAACTGAGAGATGTCTCAGAGACCGAAATTGTGCAACATGTCTACTAGTGTGGACCAATCTTTAAAGGTATGTAATGCCAACAGAAACAAAAAAAAAAATCTAAACTATGAAACTATGATCTTTATAATATGATAATAAATTAACCGAGAGCAGCTGGAACACTAATTATGGTTAAACTCAATTTATAATCCTTAAACTGAGATCAATTGTTTTTAATGGTTTAGCATAAATGTATATAGATGAAACATAAAAGACCAAATTTAAACTAAGTTAATTGAACGTCTGTTCAAACTTCCAACCGTCCTCTTAATATAAACTCCACAATTGGCCCTTAAATAATACCAAAATTGTAGTTTTGTTTTTTCCAGAATTATAAGGTATCATAGCTGAACTGACAATATGAACTTTACAAAATAAAACTGATAATATAATTACCAAATCAGTATCCTTATGCCTATAGATAGGTTCGTGTATGTTGGCCATCAATGGAGTGAACCCAGAGAGGGTGGCGTCCTCATTTAAGTAAACAAGTTCATGGTCTGAAAAAGAAACAAGATAATAATAATAATACCTGAATAAGCAATATTAATTATCTTATATATATATATTTATTTTTTCCTGTTGTATAAAATCCTAAGAAGGTATTAATCTATATCGCTCAAAAATCTGGGTCTTAGTGTATTTCTTCACAGAAAAATATTGGGTGGATCCATAAGTTGGTTCAGTTTTTATTAGTAGTGCAAATTGTTTTCAAACATCTCGAGTTCTCTTTGCCTTATCTGAAAAAAAGATACTTATCGGAAAAGTCAAAGTCCGCTCTTCGAAACTATTGTGTTAGGTTTCATTGGCATTAGTTTTGTTTGTGCTGCAGCATAATGAATATGTCAAACGATAGAGTACATTTTTGGCATATTTTTCTTTTTTATTTCAAAAAAGACAAGCGAATTTGGGATGTTCACCGAAAGATATACAAGGTATATGTAAAGATGCCAGAACAGAACACACTGCTCAAAAATGGTTTGCCAAGTTTTGTTCTGGAGATATCAAGATCGAAGACGCACCCCCTTACGGTTAGCCCACTGAGGTTGTTTCAAGTGATATCAAGGCTCGAACAAACAATACTAGTCACTACAGGTACGAGAAATCAAGGAGACAATGAAAATAGGTTTTGGAACCGTTCAAAGGTATTTAAAACAGCTTGGCCGAATACTAACTGCAACTCTCTTCTGAACTGGCACAAAAGGGAGCCATTTCTCAAACGAATAGTGACGGGTGACGAAAAGTTGATCATCTACTACAATGTAGGTTGTGGTCAACTGCTGATGAGCCCCCTAATGCCACTCCCAAATCCGAAGGCTAGCCTACCTCCGACAAAGATTTTACTTTCCATATGATGGGATTAACGCAGTGTGATGTTTTACTAGCAGCTTCCACAAGGAAAAATTATTGATTCAAAGATCTACTGCACCCAACTAACGAAATTTGACCCACACCATTGTGGCAGAAACACCCAAAACTAGTCAATAGCAAAGGTGTTACATCCCACCAAGACAACGCCAGACCACAATCCACAATATTCTGTATCGGCGAATAAATTATTGAGTAAAATTTATTCTTTATATGGTAAAAACTTGTTTGATTACACTCTTCTAAACCAAATAAACTTATGGATCTACCCAATAAATTAACCATTGAGACCAAACTTCTTATTGGTCTAGAGGTATAACCAAATGTAAAAAAAAAAAACTATTCTAACCAGCGTGGGAAGGTCGGCATTCATTTTGTAGATCCGCCACAAAATAAATTTCAACTTGCCCAGGCTGGATTCGAACCAGTGTCGCTTGACTCGAGAATATTTAAGCTTGTGCTCGTTCATCGCAACCACAAATTACATTTTATTTTTATTTTATTTTATTTTATTAATAAAAACCTAGATCAATGATCCCAATATTAATCAGGCCAGTCATTAAATAGTTATTAACTTCCTAAGCTGGCTACAACACATCATGGGATGAATATAGTAATAACTATATTCATATAATAAGTGGGAGAAAGGTAGATTGGGGTGGGGTTGGGGGCTGACTTCTTCTCGGGAGTTGACTGACTTCTTCTGGCTGAAGTCTCAGGTTTGAATCTGGCTGAAGGCAGATATATCATTTATTCTGTTTCATCGGCCATGGGAACAGAATGTCTTCTAAGGGCACACCCAGCCTCTATAAAGTGGGTACTCTTAATTAAGGGAGAAAACCCTGGCGGTTGAGTGCGATCTCGGTCAAATCACCTCCTTGTACAACCATTGACTAAGAAACTTCCCTAAATAGTACCGAACCCAAGACCTTTTTAAAATGATATGGGGTTTAGTGGTATACATTTTTTTTTTTTTTTAATAAAACAACTATGATTAATAACAATGAGAACATTGGAATTAATAGTTTGTAGGCTAAGAATAGAGTAATATCATTTAGTCATTAGGTTTTGTTCATAATTCAGCATGTTAGAGACCGTGGCAGTGTTAAAGTACTTCCCACTTCATCATACTTGAATCTAAGTATCAAGCCCCAATATCTAATCTAGCCCCATTTGAATTTGAAATGGGCAAGTTGAAATTTATCTATTTTGAAACGACAAGGTAGGAAGTTATTAAAAAAAAATACATAAATAAATAAAAAATCAGCAGATCAGAATACTTCAGTTGTATGTGGACTGCTCCAAGGTCAAGAGATCCGATAGTTTATTTTTTAATGCCACAGGGAATAGATACCCCACAGATTATAAGGAGATTCCTACTTTTAAATAATATTTCAAACCACTATGCTTATAGCTACATAAAGCATAACATAGTCATGCTAATAATAAATAACTTATTTATTAATATTTAAATCAAACTGAAAATATTTTACTAAATAAAACTATAAATAAATAAAATGGAAAATTGACAATGATATTATAAAAAAGACGCACCAGGTCTATTTTCAGTAGTAAGAAGATGACCTTTGTAATCAAGTTTCTCCAATAAATTTACCACCGTTGCTATCCTTGTCCAGCAATCATCTGGGGGCCTGACAAAAAAAAAAAAAAAAAATTAATAAAAGAAAGGTTAGTAAACAAACTATTGATTCTTGGTACAGACCCATTTTTATCAAATTATTAACATCCGGCTGACTACTTCATAAACAGCTTCATTTCATCGTAACCTAAAAATATTTTACTAATGAAAATTTTCAGAATAGAGGAGTTTTCAATCTGAAGGTCGGCAAATATTGTCTATTTAATTAGGTACTAAAAACTCGTAAATACCCATTTGATTTTCATTTGGATCGTGAGATAATTTGATCACAGAATCGATAAATAAGGTGGCCTACAAAAATATTGGACCATTTGACCTATATAACCTCGTTATTTTGTGAAGCTTAGGATATAGGACAAGCCAAGCGGCTCAATATTTTTGAAGGCCACCTTCTTTCTCGACTTAGTGCTCAAGTTATCCCACGATTCAAGTGTAAAGTAAATGAGTATTTACGAGTTTCTAGTACCTGATTAAATAGACAAAATTTGCTGACCTGCTGATTGAAAACCCCACAATTCCGAGAATTTTTTAAAATAAAATATTTGTAGATTAAGATGAGATGAAACTATAGAGGAAGTTTCAGCTGGATGTTTTTTTTGGCTTGAAGCACTTATGGATCTATTGTGCGCCATGCATACAGTCCGTTTTATTCCTAAACATGCCTTATGTTATAACAGCCGGATATTAATAATTTGAAAAAAAGGGATCTGTACCACGGACTATACCCAATACAGCTTATAAAAAATTTCTTGAATGATATACTTGAATATAATTTCAGTATTTGATGAACTTATTTTTTTCATTAGATAAGAAACCGGAAACATTGTAATAACCCTAAGTAAAAACAATTCAACCAGAAATTAATTAGCTTAATAATTTATAAACAACTTGTATAGTTACAAGTATAAGACAATAGGAATACCATCTATAATACTTCGAAACTTATTTAACAATCTTTTTTTGGTATAAAAATATTTGGTGGAGTGATAGATTATCTTTATACGCAATAATTTTTTTTTTTTAATATTAAGATAAAATAGTACAATTAGGGAGTTCAGTGAGTAAAGTAATGTGCTCCTATGCTAAAAGGACTCTGGTTTGAGTTCAGTTGTGTTGGGTAATTATTTATTCTGTTACTTCAGCCATTGGTGGACTCTGAAGTCAGAGGAACCTACATGAGCACACCCAGCCTCTAGCCTCTATAAAGTGGGTACTCTTGATTAAATAATTAATTAAGGAGGAAAGCATTGACCTTGAACAGTACTCCCTTACAAAGTACTGAATCCAAGATCTTCCTTTGGTTTTAGTGGTACAGGTTTTAGTACATATTATAGTATATGTAATCAATTTAAAAAATATTGCTACAAGTAAAAAAATAGGTTTGGATAAATTTGATATAATAATAAGGCTTAGCGAACCCGAAGGTTCGATGCCAAAATTTAATATAAATAATATTATATACTACAGTAAAATGTGTCTGATCATGAATTAGTAATCGCGAAACTTCGACAAAAACTTAATATAAAAAAGAGAAAAGAAAACCGTTTCGATTTTGAGAATTTTAATTTGGAAAAATTAAAAAATCCATCAATTAGAAACCAATTCGAGCTAGATGTTAAGAATAGGTTTGAAGCTTTAGAGCTTCCTGACGAGGACCACGAGGATATTGACAAGTTATGGATAGAGATCAGAGATAATATTAAAGCGGTCGGTAACTCGTGTCTAGGAAAAAAGGAAAATAAGAATAACAAACCGTGGTTTGATGAAGATTGCTTAAACATGTGTGAAAAAAGAAAAGCCGCTAAATTAAAAGCTCTAAATAATCCTAGCGAAGACAATCTGGAATACTTCCGAATCTCAAAGAACGAAACGACAAAATTGCTCAAAAATAAAAAAAGGGAGTATCTTAAAAATAAAATAATTGAAATAGAAACTAATAGAATCGAAAATAACGTAAGAGACATGTACAAAGGTATAAACAGATCACGTAAATATGTAGGGCCCGTAACGTCTGGAATTAGGGATGATAATAACAATATTCTGACCGATCCGCTTGACATATTGAATAAGTTTAAGGACCACTTTGACAATATTTTAAATACGGGAAATTATGATCTGTGTCCTCCTTCTGAGTACCAGAGTGCTGAACCGTTAATAGAAGGACCAACTAAAGAGGAAGTTAAAGTAGCTATCGGAAAATTAAAATCATATAAAGCAGCGGGAACCGATAATATTCCTACTGAACTAATTAAGGCATGCGGGGAAGCTGGAGTTTCTAAAATACATCGGTTGGTTAAAAAGATCTGGGTGAACGAGAAATTACCTGAAGAATGGAAAGAATCTATTCTTATTCCGATTCACAAAAAGGGTCCGAGGACGGATTGTAATAACTATCGAGGAATTTCACTCCTTCCGGTATGTTATAAAATATTCACTTTAATCTTAACCAGTCGAATCACGGAATACGCCGAGGAAATTATCGGAGACTACCAATGCGGATTTAGACGGAATCGTTCGACTATTGATCAAATATTTTCTTTACGGCAAATATTAGAGAAAAAATTGGAGTATAACGGTATTGTTCACCAGCTGTATATAGATTTTAAAAAGGCTTACGATTCTATTGACCGCCAGAAATTGTATAATATTCTAATCGAGCAGGGGATTCCAAAAAAACTAGTAAATCTAGTCAGAATGTGCTTGACGGAGACACTCAATAAAGTTAGAATCGGTAATAATTTGTCCGAAAAATTTGAGGTTCGTTCGGGTTTAAAACAGGGGGATTCTCTTTCGCCTGTCCTGTTCAATTTGGCATTAGAACATGCCATTAGGGAGGTAATGCGAACCGAGAAAGGGTTGGATCTGGGCGGGACAACATCCGTGCTGGGCTATGCTGATGATCTGGTACTGTTAAGCGAAGACGTTGAAACTATAAAACTGAATACGACAACGTTAATGAAAGCCGGGAAAGAACTAGGACTCGAAATAAACGTGGATAAAACAAAATATATGGTTAGCTGCAAAAATGGCGATATTACTGGTGATATTGATATAGATGGTAATATCTTTGAACAGGTAGATAAGTTTAGGTATCTAGGTTCTACGATAACTAGAAAAAACGAAATTGAAGAAGAGATTAAGGTTAGACTGAAGGCGGGGAACGCTTGTTATTTTTCTGTGACAAAACTACTAAGTTCGCGCCTCTTGTCCCGAAACTTAAAAATTAGAATCTATAAAACAATTATCTTACCTACAGTTCTTTATGGATGCGAAACTTGGCCGCTTACATTAAGGGATGAGCAGCGTCTTAAGGTTTTTGAAAATAAAGTATTGCGTAGAATATTCGGACCGAAAAAGGATGAGTTAACCGGAGAGTTCAGACGGTTACACAACGCCGAATTGCGTGAGATGTATCCGGGTAATATAATTGAGGTAATTTCATCGCGGCGAATCAAATGGGCTTGTAAAGTTGTTGGGCTTAGTAACGAGAGAATTCCTAAAAGGTTAATATTTGCTGTGCCGAATGGTAGGCGTCCGAGGGGTAGACCGAAGCGAAGATGGGAGGATTGCATTAAAGCCGATCTGAAGGGACTGGGTTTGGACGGCGAACGGTGGAGGGAGGTGTGTAACAAGCGATTGGTGGTGTCGGCATCGAACCTTCGGGTTCGCTAAGCCTTATTATTATTATTATTACAGTAAAATGTATATGATATGTTGATGAACGATAAACATTAAATACGCTTACCCAACTTTGTAATCCTGACAGGAAGGAGGTGGATTCCAAACTTCTACATGAGTCATCAACCAATCACACCATACCTGCGACAAACATAAAAAATAAATACACATCAAGAACATCATCCTACATTCGAAAAGTAGTTCAGAAACAGAAGGAATAAAAGTAATTAGTTTCATCAAAAGTAATAAAAGAAGAATGAAATGTAACTACTTGGTCTGTGCAAATAGCACATTGATCAATAAATAACAGGCAACATGATATAGAATTATTAAATGAAATATAATATAAAGAATCTGGTGTAGTGCACGCAACAAAACTTTCATTTACCTATCTTGAATAAAAACAAGTGTTTTCATATTTATGGAAGTAAAAAATTACAGATGATATAACATACTCATTTGAAATAATTAATTACCGCATAAAACATAGTGGCCGTGCGATTAAAGGAAATATACAAATTTTAAAAATAATTGCTTGCTAGTATAAATATGTTTGGTACTTTTTGTCTAGAGGGCCGGACTGAAACCTCACTTCTTATCTATCTTATCTAACGTCACGTCACATAACCTTTTTCTTCTTATCCCGCCAAACCTTTGAGTTATTGCATTGTTTAGTTTTCAGTTATTCTCTTATTACGTTCACTTATTAAATTCTTTACTTTTGGCCCGTTTGTGTTTATTTTTCATTATTTTTAGTTTCTGGCCCGTTTGTGTTTATTTTACATTTTTTTTAGTTTGTGGCCCCTTTGTGTTTATTTTTCAATTTTTTTTTTCAGTTTATTTTCGTCATATTATGGATCTTCTTAGAATATGGGATTTACTGCCTTCAGAAGAACAGGCAATTCAATATTTTCAAAATGTTGGGATACTTGCCAACGTGAAATTGTGTGAACGAGGTCATCGAATGAAGTTAACCAGGAAGGCCAAATGGAGATGCTTTCATAAGACTTATGACACAAAACTTTCAATAAGGAAAGGAACATGGTTGGAGGGCTCAAGGATTTCGTTTTTAACAGTTTTAAAATTTATTTATGGGTGGTCCCATAGCTTGACAACGATGAAGTGGGGCAAAGAGCAGCTGAAACTATCCTACAGAGCTATGGTAACGTGGAACAAATGTCTTAGAGGTTTGTGCCCATGACATGTTATACAGGCCAAGAAAAAAAATTGGAGGACCTGGTAAAGTAGTTGAAGTAGATGAGTCTTTTTTCTAAACGAAAAAATCATGTGGGGAGAGTTTTACCTCATCAGTGGATATTTGGTGGAGTTTGCCGAGAAACAGATGAATGTTTTATCTTTTTATAAAACAGACTTTATGTTTTATATTTTTTCTTTTCTATGTAAATATGTTCTTTTAAATGTGTTTTTTTATCATTTCATTTTGATGTTTTATATGTACATATCTTCTTAAAGTGTTTTTTTATTATTTCATTAATATATGTGTGGTCAAATAAAAGTTTTTTTTTTGTTACATTTGTTTTTGTATCTGTTTACACTTTCAATAATACGAATTTAATACAATAATACGAAGATATGAAGTAGGAGAAGGCTTATCACTGCGTTATGGGAGTTATCAGTGTTCAGGTTATAAACATTGGCAGATAGCAGTCAGTAGCGGCCCCCTAGACAAAAAGTACCATATTTTTTTTTTTTATTAATGAGAAGTAAAAGTGAATACTGGACAAATAGGATTTTGTTTAAAATCTTAACAGCATAAAAAAAAAAGTAAAGTGGATCTTAAGTCAAAATTCTAAGTTTTATCCAAAATGTTTAAAAAAAATATTATTCATAGATATTTAGCCTCAACAGGTAGCACGAAAATCTTTTTAAAAATTATGTGTAAAAGAAAGTAATTTTATCAATTAAACTAACAATAAATAACAATAGAATAGCCATATATAGATGTAAGTAGTTTAAGTAAAGGAGGATTGGGAAAAGTCGGACATCCTCGGCTATTTCTGCCTTAACAGTTTCTATCCCATCCATCTATTCACGAGTACTAACCCTTATTTCTTCTTTAGTTATTTATCAAATTCATTCATAATTTGTATTTATCTCTTTTATAATAGTACTTCCAATGTGAAATAGTTAATTACTTTAAATAAATAAAATTAAAGGTACTTTTGATGAAGACATTTTAAAAATTTGATATATAAGGCTCTGATAGAGAACATTAATGATGATAAGACCTACCCTAAACTTATTTTATAATACATTGATCTAAAGAGTTTAATCAAAATCGTAAGAGCCATTTTTTAGAAATTTGTAAAAATGTGTAAAATCGATTATATGGTGGCACGTCAGGTTAGCCAATTTAGACGAAACAGTTGGTGTAACATCTCAGGCATATAAAAACCTTAAATACATAATATCAGTTTCGTTTGACTTATCATTTTTAAGCAAAGCTGTTCACGCAAGCACGCACGCACACACAGACCATACGATGCGGTTTCGAAAATTTTCATGAACGCAATACTTTCCCTTACTTTATATTACATATGAAAGTGAAAGAAAAAAATATATTCTGATCATTACAATGGTTCATTAATGAAAAAATAAACCAAATCGTGTGTTCAAATTACAATAGGTTTTTTTGTTTTGGTGGGCGCTAGAGACCATATAGATCTTTGGCTGTGCAATGTGGTCTTCTTACAGACATATATTAGCTTCCAGGATCAGGTGGGGCCCCTCACACAGCCTGGCGGGGCCTCCCAAACTCACATTGCTACAAACCATGGTGTACAGGGTGCAGTGGTAGGCCACCCATAACTCCAGAGGCCAATCTGGTAGTCAATCTCCTTCCCACAAACTCACTTGGTTTCAAGGACATTGACAAATCGGTCTAGATCCATGGATTATGACTGCTGAGAATCAGAAGAAAAAGTTTACCTATATTTCTTTCACTGGAACAAGACCGTCCATATACCAAACTGCAGGGAGGCTATCGGCATCCTGGAAAATCACATTGTGATTTTTTATTAAAACACACGGGTCAGGGTCATCCAAAGCCCGGTTTGTGCAAGTTGCCTCCATTAGGCTGGTGTACCTCACATGCCAGGGGAGATTGGATCTGGGGTAACATAGTTTTCCTCAATGGACAGTCACCAATGCCAATGAGCAGGCACCCGTCCAAGTACTTACTATTCTCGACACTGCTCCCCTCATGCATGCACCTTAGCCCAATCGGCCTTCCCGACACCCCTCAATAAGCTTTATCTTTGCTAATAATGGTCAGATTTTGATGATTTTTTTTTTTTTCATTTAGTAGGAAATTAAAAAAAAAAACATTTAAATTGTTATAATTCCATAAATTGTATACTTTTTAACTTGTGTATAAATAAAAAGTGTTTTTTTTTCTTCCCATTTTTTCAGATATATGCTTATTTTTTGGCACTGAAGGATAATCTTCAAAATAATGACTCGATCATTGGAATAGATAAAGTACTATTGAAGAAATGACAAAAAAAAAAAAAAAAAAACTGAGAAATAATATAAATAGATATTTTAACAAAATAAACATACTATACACATGTTTTTTATAGAAAATTATATGCTTATATTATTGAATTCTAATAATGTAATTTTTAAAAATCTGTTTAGAGAAAGAAATTTTACTAAGGACAAGTCCCTAAACTGTAATCAAAATCATACCAAACTGTTCCTAAAGTCATCAATGAAAATCATCTATGGAATTCAGTATGTTCATTCATTCAGCAACTGAACCACGATGGCTCAGGGGTTTCATCGGCTATAGGAGTCAATAGATCCACAGAATGTAACTGCAGTGTTATTATTTCTCAATTCAACATATTTTTGTATTCAGATCTCCTTCCTATCTATATTTATTTACGTTTTATGATTCATTATTTCAAAGGTATTTCCTTGTATATTTTTTATTTTTTCAAGTGTTATGTAACCTTCCAGGAATGTTAACCTTCCACTGGAATCCAGTAGGTCATTCATAAGCTTAGAATAAATCACTGCCTGCCTATATGTGGTGGATTCCATTGATAAAATTTGCCCTAAATTTAGGAACTTACTCTTTTAAGAAATGTAAATTTGAATATAAAAATTACTGTTAATAAATATAAAGTTACAAGAAAAATATTGTTTTTAAAAAATCGCTTAAAACTTACTTTTAAAGCAGGAAGAATTTCGAGGCAATCGGGAGGAAGTATCGTGGGAGCACGGTCTGCCCCATTGAGGTATTCCTTCAGAAGTTGAACGAACCTCTCAAGAAGCAAATTGAACATCTGTAAAGATATTACTATAGCACTTTCTTGAGTGGCTGAGCGGTAGCAACCTCCCTCGCTGCTCACCATGTCCCCTCAAATACAAAACAAAAATATTTAAATTTAGGGTCCACATTTTACCCAAAATATAATGTTATAATAAAATAAAATAAATACATTTTTTATAGTATAAAATTTATAACCACGCATTATATACCATCACCATTTTTTCACACCAAAACAAACCCCAAACTTTTTTTCTTTATCAAAAACGAGCCTTGAAGATCCAGTGATTTTTGGAAATATGTTCCACAAAGAAAGAATTTCTTAATTTAAAAAAAATATATATATAAGTTTTGATATTACAGCTTAAATAGAAAATATATTTTTTCTTTTTTTTCAAGTTTATTTATTATCAGCCATTTTACACCAATTTTCAAAATTTTGTCAACTTAATGACTACACATCTGATTACGACGTTTCGGCTCGTTAAAAAAAAACTCTGTAAATAATCACACAGACGTGGATAATATGAATACCTTTTACACGAGTTCGAATGAAAAAATTTAAATATCAAAATTAATTAGCTAATTTTACTTAAAATAAGTCCATATATAATATTGGGAAACATCATTGTATATGTTTAAAATAAATAGTCTTCCCCAAATCCTTTAAGAATAACCAGTCACGAAATAGAAATGAGACTGATGAGATGTCAGTGACACATTATAAGGTAATTTTAACTCATTTGAATCATTTAATAATAAATAATTGAGTAATAATAATGTTATAAAATAATTAAAGGTGGAAATGACAAAAATAAAATTGTTTTTATATGAATAGACGCATGCAATGCAAGTTGAAAAGGACAGGTACATGATTGGTATTTTAGGTATATAAAAAGAATCTCTATATGTTGAAGTATGTAATGTTTTAAATATGATCGTAAATTGTAAAAAATTTTTAGACTTGAAAATGGCTCAACGAGCCGAAACGTCATAATCAGATGTGTAGTCATTAAGTTGACAAAATTTTGAAAATTGGTGTAAAATGGCTGATAATAAATAAACTTGAAAATAAATAGTATGCCGAAGAAGAATTGGAGAAATATTGTGAGTATATTTTTTCACGTTTTCTGAAAAACTGTTAATAATGATCAGGGTTCACTTTGGAAATAAACTACTCAAATTTTAAAAATGACTAAATGAAATGAGACACTGTATCTCCATGCTTTATTGTCATTATACTCTTAAAAAAGATGATGAATTCTTGTGAAATAGCCATGAGAAGGGTGTGCGTTTTCGCAAGTCAGTCTGCTTAAAAATTACCAGAAATTCAGTTAGACCAGTGAGACAAAATCTTAATAAGATTTTTTGTGCCTTTTTGTCCATTGTACAAAACTTTTTATCTATCCTTTCATCAATTTTTTCAATAGTCAATTATTGAAATGTCAGTCTACCAATTAAATCAGTAAGTTTACATTTTAATAATAAAATAAGATGAAGTTATAAATGGCACAGATAACATTCAAATAAGAGCTACTACATTCTATTTAAGTAATTATTTTTTATTAATTTTTTTTTTTTCATGCAATCGTAAGAAATCAATCTGTTGTAATGATATACCTTTGGGCTGAGATATTTCTATTGCAAACATGTTTAATGCAAAAAGCTGTAGGAATCGATTGCTATTTAACGGAATCGGAGTGTGGTGCAGCAGAGCTCTGAATTGCTTCAGCATTTGCACAGCTGTTTCAGTCAAGCTCTCTAACCTTAACAAATTAATTAAATGTGCCATTAGAATATAGCATATAACATTTTTTGTGCATACTAAACTAAATAAATAACATTTGATTAATAACTGTTAGCATTCCTTTTAAACCACCGTTAGAAAAATGTTTAAAAAAATAAAGGGTGTCCAAAAAAGAGTGATTAATAATTGTTCTTTAAATTACTATGAGACATAGAAAGGGCGTAACGACACAGTCCACAATTTTAGTAGAAATAGAAATTGTTCAATGGTCAACAGCGTGATATTAATTCTGTTTCAGGATTAATATTAAAATAATGACCCAATCATTACGACTCAACATTTTTATCATACTCGTTTACAAACTTGAAGTCCAACCCACGCAAACATCATTCAGAACTGGAAACAAATATTTGAATTAACGTGACCTGCTATTAAAATTAGAAATGCATAAAATGTCCTGCATACAGTCAGACTCGATGAAACAATTGAGCAAGTCAAAATTCTTGACTTCTCAATTTTTTTAATTTATTGGCCTCACACTTGTAATGATTTTGTAGCTTTAATTCAATAATTTAATTCCAGCAGGATTGTGCCATATGCCTAATCATTCAATTCAAGAAATTAAGTGAGGCAATTATTAAAAAATTAATTAATGAGCCGAATTCGAAACAGGAACATGGGACATTGAAAAGTAAAAAACAACACCAATATCCAATAGGATATTTTCACTTATCATTAGAAAGAATTTCAAGAAAGTAATAAAAGTTATATTAACATAATTATCTATAGGAGGGATCCCCAAACTTTGTTCATCTGCGGACACATTTGTGGATTATGGGTTAGGTGGTGGACACGATATTTTCATTCAATATGAATTGCAGGTGCATTACTGTTTATAATATTTGAAAAGAAAATATGAAGAGTATCAATAAAAAGAAATTTACACGTATAGTAACAGCTCTCTTTATTATTTCTGAAACAAATGAAACATATTTCTATAGAACACATTTTGAAATTAGAAATAAAAATTAATTAGGAGCAATATGGATTATAATAAGGTATAAGTAAATATAATGCAGTGTTATCAACAGTGCCAATCAATTTTTTTTTTAACTATCAAAGAAATAAATTCAACAAAACAACAGTGATGATATTATATTGATAATTGAATTTTTTTTTGGAATTATTTATTTATCCTTTGGAATTTTATGTCTATAAAATTTTGTTATATTTTAAAATATACATTAATTTAAGAAAGAAATTGGAAAACATCTGAATTGAAAACTTGTCTATCTGCAGAATATCACTTAAAAACAATAACGATGATTGAAAAAATAGATTACTATTTTCAAAGTAATTGTGCATACTTAAAAATGAATTATTAGATGTTTATTGAAATCAATATTCAACATTTTATTGATAAATGTAAAACTGCTGCTAAGGCTATCACCGATAAAGGTTACGTTAGACATTGGCGGGCACGAGTGATGTCACCGTATAAGCTTTAAGTTGGGGTGGGGGGGGGGGACTCCTGATCTATAGTAAATGATTTTTCATCATGGCCACATTTTTAGTAAATAAATTATTTTCATTGAATGGTTTTTAAATTTATATGACTTTTAAATAGCTTTCTTCCTTTTTGGACACCCTGCCTGCAAGATTAGCCTACACACTAAATGGCATATATTTTATGCAAACTTATTTTAAAGAAAATATATACATTTCACTTAATATACAAATAAATTACTTTTTAAGGAATTTATATAGGTTAATATGTTACAATTAAAATTATATACATGTTATCTGTTTCTTAAATATATACAAATAAAGTTTCTCTTGTCAGTTAATCAAATAGTCTTCTTTTTTATTTTTAACTTATACTATGCACCAACCAAACAGGAGGAATCAACCAATCTTCTTCGAGAATTCAACTTAAATGTTGTAACCTTAAAATTAACTAATCCCATACTTTTACCACACCAACACCTTCAAAAATTTATATATACACATATACAAGTTTATATTAAGGATACAAGGAAATTATTTTAAAACTGTTGGGAAATTGCAATGGTATGAAATGGTTAAACAAAAAACAAAATTTAAAATAACCAAGGGGCATACAAATGATGACAGAGAGTCAAATTTGTTAACTTAAATCTACTATATTTTGTCAACATTGAAAAATTATACAGATACAGAAAATAATTTGTCCTTACTAAAAGCAAGGATTTCAAAATTTTGTTATATTAGTGTTTTAAAATTCAATTTATTTAAAAATACACAATATAGTTATTAAAAAAAAAATATATATATATATATATATATATATATATATATATATATATATATATATATATATATATATATAATATATATATATATATATATATATATATATATATATATATATAACTGCAATTGAAAATTGTACTCACAGTCAGAGATGGGCAAATGCTATTCCAGGGAAGTATATACAATTTCAATTACTTCTAAGAATCAGTAAATATACAAAACAAAGCGTTAAATTGCAAACGTTAAATTAAAAAAAATTCAAGATATTCAGCAAAGTATTTTTGAATTGAGTTTTATTATTATAGTTACATCATTTTTACAATAGAGGCCTTCTTAAATGACCTCCGTATTGAATAAAGGAAGTTAAAAATAAATAAATAATAAATTTTTAAAAAATTGTTTAATTTTTTTAAAGAATTAAATTATTGCATTAATATTTGTTCGTTAATACTATCAATATATTGTAACAAAAACGTTATTATAGCACTATAAATAAGCCATTTATGAGTACTGAATGGTGTGGTAGAGGCCTGTAGGCACCTGCGCTTTTTAGGAACTGCTTCAAATATTTTTAAAAATAATCAATGTTTTAGAAAGAGAAATATATTTTCCAGATGTTTTACTTTGACACTATTTTGCTTTATTGTTGGCCGTTTAATTACAAATGATACTTTGTATTCAACTTGAAATTTTTTTTTTAAAAACATCGACTTTACTGGTGTTTTTTATTGCCAAAGCCAATTATATGTTTAATATTTTTCATGTTTTATGAAATTAAGCCAAATACTGATTTTCAGTGACCAAAAAACTAACTAAAGTCAAAGTCGTCAGTCCACCATGTTTGGACGCTATTTTGGGGCAGTGGGATTACTTTTTTTTGTGGGAACATTGGCTTTTTTTATAATAAATATTTACAAGGAATGCAACAATATGCAATTTATAAGGATGTGGGAGAGGGTCTGGCCCACCGTATATAAGTTTTCGGTACTGATAGAAGCATTTGCCCATCTCTGCTCACAGTACAGGATATATAGAAAGGTCATAAAGCCATTTTCTTTTAAATGCCTTATGGATTATTAGGATAGATTGGAAAGTAGGATTATAAACAAATAGTTTTAAAAGAATACAGAGTTAGTAATAGGATATTTACACTATGTTCAAATAATTTTATTAGTTGTAAAACAGGTAGCTTTAAGAATTAATGATTCTTAAGTGTCGTATGAACAGAAGGAATTGGATTATTCAAATGAACGAACATAATACCTAAGCCCAAATATTCCTATCGTAAATTAAATAACAGTTAAGAGAACTGTTAACAAAATTATTTTCCTTTTGTTTCAATTGTTTAAAGAACTCCTATGCACTCTATCCATTTTATTATTATGGAGGTCAAGATAGGTAACAAGAATTGTTAAAGAATATAGTAGTAACACAATAGTTAAGAATAGATTAGCAAACTATAGCTTACATATTTGTTATAAAACAACATTATTTAAAAATCAAATTAGCATACTTACCCTATTTTTGTATAAATCTTTCCATGTACATGAAGATAACTGACTACAAATCTTTTATTGACCTGTAAAAAAAAAGAAAGAAAAGAAAAATTAACAATTCAAATTTATTATTCTTAAGGTATGTTAACTTAATATAATATTTTTGACATAATTGTTATTTATACGATTTAAATGTTAATTTTATTTGCTTAAAAAATAACTTTAATATATAATGAACCAAAATATTCAGAAATTCTTAAAGAATTATTGTATTGTACATTTTGTACAGAAGACGAGAAGAAGTACAAACCGCTGAAAATATTTGAAGTCATGTTTATAGGTTGGAAAAACCAAACTTTTTCTCTATTAATTTTTTCTCTTTTAATTTTACATAAACAAATAAGTTTAATCAAAATTGTTTTCGAGTTAATTGTAAAAATGTTTAAAATTGATAATATGCAGAACCATATCTCATTAATCAATTTTTCTGAAAAATTCTCATTTAAAAATACCTACATTAAATACATAATTTCAGTTTCGTACAAATTTTAGTTTTTGAGTTAGGTTATTCACAAAAATACAGAACATTTTGCAAGATTTGGTTATTTGGACTATGTAAACCTAAAAACGGATTTTTCCATTGAAAATTCAAATTTGAAATTCTGCACGATCGCAATACTTTCTCTTTACTATATTTTTCATATATAGGTATGTGAAAGTGACAGATTAAAACTAAAATCATGAAAAAATCAGAAACTTGACACACCTCTATATTAGAAGCGGAATACAGTTGTTCATCTTCCGAATCGAAATCTGCTTTACAAGTAGAAGTGGTTCGGTGCATATTTTTTCTCCCACCGGGATGAATCCATATTTCCCTCCTTATACCACCACCTCCTTCTTTTTCTTTCATTTTTTCACGTTCCTTCTTAGCTTTTTCCTCTTTCCTCTTCTTGTCCACGGCTTCGTACTATTAATAACATAAACATATTTTAAAATTTATAATACATATATACTTATAAGTGAATATCAAGTCTGTTTTTCCCAAGGCAGGATAACAAAAGATTTACAGTTAATATCTCTTTGTCTCTTATTACAATATTAGCAAAGGAAAATTATGAACTGTCATTGAAGAATTCAAGAAGAATCGTGTGGAAATTATTTCTAAATATATAAATAAAATTAAAAATGGCAATGTATTTATATAATTTTTCATGCAATTATACACAGAAATATAAATGAACACTAAGGGTAGACTAGGGATGTTATGATATCAGGCAAGTTCCTATATTCAGTATCGATAGTCTTTGATATTGATATTAGTATAATATAGAATAAAGAAAAACAATACCACCAATATTGGATGATAATATATCAAAATGAAACTGTTGTAATACGTAATAAACACATAAACGGTTTATTGCAAAGAGCTATTAAGTGACAAAATAATTGAGTAAAAAAAAATAATAATAATCAGTCTTTTAAATAACAAATATAATGTTTTAGAGGAAGCATTTTTTAAGCTTGATTAGAATTTTTTTATTTTAGAAAACTAAACTTTTAGTAATTTATTTTTATCGCTTTTATTTTATTTCCATAAACTGAGAAGAGGTAAAAGTTGATACTTGAAATATAAAGCTCTAATTTTCTATATTATAAAATTATGTGATATTAATGTAGTTTCTCATAAGTAATTTAGTTTCTTTATCATTATAAACAGCATAATAATTATCCATATCGCCGGCACCATGTTAAGGTAACGAATGTGCAACATTAAACAGGCTCACAATCGTTAATTTAACATGGCGCCAATGATATGACACTTACTGTGACATTTCTTGTTTATAAATGCTCTTTTAAGGAGCAACACGGGTCGAACAAACGAGAGCTTGCCAGCCATATCTTGACTCAAATGTTAATATATTACAAATGTATGTTTTCTTTTCAAAAAAGAACTGTTTTAATTCCATTTTGCTTAAATTCTATTCATTACTATTGTTTTATTTCAATATAATGACCAAAGCCATTATTGACAGTCAAAGGTGCATGAATATAGCGACCATAGTCGTTTATAATGACGAAGTTTACCCCTTCAAGGTCATTATAAATGATATCCACTGTATATTTATTTCCAATTTGAAAAAAATATTTATGTACTAAAAAAATTCCCTGACTTTTCCCATTTTTCTAGGTCAGTTGCCACCCTGTTAACGGTTTATATTTGAATAGTTTAAAAATATTGGTAATTTTAATAAGCCCACTTTAGATGTTTTTTTAGATACTAAATTGATTTTTCAGTTAATAATGTAAACAAGGATAAAAACAAATCAAAATCCAATATTGCCAATTTTCTTTCGATAATATCGAATCCTTTGTATTGATATGATGATGATGAAAGGAAAATATCAATTGTTAAAATATATGTACCCTAGGGTAGGCATAACCTGTTACAAACATCACTAAAATACTTTTTTTCTTTTTTTTTCCACACAAATACTGAATTCTTAAAGGATAAATTAAAAAATATAAGACTTGATAATCCTGTCTAATGTCCGATAATTATTGCAAATTGTACTCTTTAAGCATAATTTTCAGAAGTTATATACAATAAAGATAAAGAGGAGCTGGCCTTTTAGCGATGATGACCGGACAGGAAAGAGTCGCTTTGAGAATGATATTAGCTGGCAGTTCTACATGCCTCTGTGATGGATTACTTTTCACCACCACTTAAGACTTTTTATTTGGGTCATCATTTCAAACTTTTTTTTTTATTTAACTTTTATACGATTAAAATATTTTTTTTATATATATATTTTAGGCCAAATGTCACCAAATATACACAGTTTTTATATCCTGTATTCTTTATTCGACGTTTCGGATTCAGGAGCCATTTTTAAGATCCTGCAAAACTAATTTTATGGGGCGGTGCATGGTAGGTAGATGATATAAATTAAAAAAAAAAATTTATAAAATAAATGTTGGACTATTTGTATTACTAATGGTTGTTAAATAATATGTGTCTGATAAGGATGTATTTGAATTGTAAAAACTAAATTAAAATTAGTTTTGCAGGATCTTGAAAATGGCTCCTGAAGCCAAAACATTGAATAAAGAATACAGGATATAAAAACTGTGTATATTTGGTGACCTTTGGCCTAAAATAGATATAAAAAACTTATGAGAAAATGGCATCAAACCTGAAGGATGTGACTTGAAAATTAAAATATTGTATTTTTACAACATGGCCTTATATACAAATTTTTTTTTAAATATGAACTTTTAAATCTTTATTTTTTTATGGAAGTGAATGAGTCAAAAACTATTTTATATTTCTGTCATGTTCTCTCCTTTAAAAAAAAAAAAGCTCATATATGGATCCACCATCATCAGTGTCAGATCCCATCTCAGGAACGTCAGAAATAGTTCTGCTTTTTTTGTAAGGAAGCATGTCAGAAATATAAATATAAACAATTTTAAAAAAATAGGTATATTATATATATTGTTCCGACATTTTCTTAATATATGAAAATAATAATTTGATACGCCAGAAAAAAAAATATTGATCAACAAGTGTGTTGAATGTTAAATCTCACATTGCTAGTTCTTACTTACTAGTACAAGGATTAAAAATAAAACTAACTATAAATATACATAACACATCATATAAATAAATAATGAATAATATACTACATGACAAAATATTAAACTAAAATTATAATATAACTCCTATTGATAATAAATGCATGCAAAAAAATATATATATATAAAATAAAATAAATTATAAAAAATATAAAAGTTGAAAAATAATACTTCACCTTCCTGTTAAAGTAATAAAACCAACTCACAAAAAAAAACTTTAAATAACTATTAAACAAAATCAGACAAATTTTTTTTTAAAAACGTCAAAACAAAATATAAATTAGAGTAAGAAACAGAAAATAAAATGGTGGAATAATCTTCTATCACAAGTGTTCAAACATTCCTTACTTTGAGAGCGATAACCCTTTCTCTCTCCTTGAAAGACATAGAATAGAAATAATAATTTATGTTAAGATATTGTTATCCGAGTCTGACCAAAGTTGAGAAACCTTTTTTATTTAAACATTTACAGATCGTATAAGACATCGTTCTTATGTTTCGTTATTCATTCATACAAATTACTGTGTTAACAATAATAAGTTACCCCAAAGCAGAATAGTTTAAATCTTTCTGAGACGGTTTATCAAAAAAGGCCAACAATTTTCTGTAAGCACAACATTAATAATAACACTTTTCTTGTTTTTATGATGACATGTCATATTGAGATTCAAAATTTTAATATTCACAAATAATATTTGGTTGGCAAATAAGTAAAAGGATGAAATAAAAGTCAATGGATTATAGACATCAAATTATTTTAATCTAACAATATATTTACCATTATTTAATATGGCTTTTTTCCCATCTTTCCACTAACTGCATAATGCCATGTTCATTGAATGTCTGAAGTTTATTGTTCAAAAACTGATCCAAGTGGTTTTTGATGTCCTCTTCCTTTTGGAATTTCTTTCCATTCATCAAGTTCGGCAGAGACCGGAACAAGTGGTAGTCACTTGGAGCTAGATCTGGTGAATAGGGAGGGTGAGGCAAAAGGTCACATACAAGGCTCAATAATTTATTGCGAGTGACCAATGAGGTGTGGGGCCTCATCATAATTCTTCAGCATGTTCTCCAAATTTGATGTTACTATATCCATTGGAAAGCTGAATTATTGCTCTTCAAAAGCCGTGTGAATGGTTTTCTTATTTAATGCCTACATAGGGAATAAATAAAGAAAAAACCTATAGGTTTTTATTTTTTATCTCCATTTGTAGTGTGTTTATGAAGGTTCTGTTGATGTCATTTTGTGAAGCTTATGTAGCCCTAAATTCCTGATAAATTTCTTGTAGATAGCTAAAGTCATTTTTTTTTTGTGATTAAAAAAACAAAATCATGTTTCTTTAATGAGTTTTCTAACTAATTATATCCTTCTTGTTCTTTTATTTTATTAATCAGAGTTGGGCGTTAGCGCGCTAATTTTTAACTAGCTAACGTACCGCTAAAAAACTAAAATTAGCGGCGCTAAATATTACGCTAATTTAGCTTCCAGCTGTTTTAGCGCAGATAACTTTAGCGCTAAATTAGCTATTAGCGGAAACGAACCGCTAACTTTTAGCTTAAGCTAAATTATCTATTAACTTAACTAAAAGCTAACTTAACGCTAACACTAGAAGAAATTTTATTTATTTCATTTTATTAATTGATATTAGGATCGACTGTTATGTAATCAGGGGCACTTTTTATGAAAATTGCCCCGGACACTGACTTTTTGTAACTTTTCTGATTTAATCGATATAAGGGATATTAGGGGGCGTTTATTATAAAAATATTGTCGGATTTTAGATACGGTCCCCCCTTCCCCCGGGCACCGACTTTTTGTAACTTTTCTGATTTAATCAATATCAGGGACGACTATGAGGTTTTGGGGGGCGCTTTTTATGAAAATAATGTCGGATTTTAGGTGTGACCCCTCCCCCCCTCGGGCACTGACTTTTTGTAACTTTTCTGATTTAATCGATATCAGTTTCTACTCTTATGTTTTCGGGGGCGCTTTTTATAAAAATGATTTCGAATTTGAGATTGGGGTCCCCGGGCCTCGACTTTTTTTAACTTTTCCGATTAAATCGATATTAGGGACGACTATGAGGTTTTGGGGGGCGCTTTTTATGAAAATAATGTCGGATTTTAGGTGTGACCCCTCCCCCCCTCGGGCACTGACTTTTTGTAACTTTTCTGATTTAATCGATATCAGTTTCTACTCTTATGTTTTCGGGGGCGCTTTTTATAAAAATGATTTCGAATTTGAGATTGGGGTCCCCGGGCCTCGACTTTTTTTAACTTTTCCGATTAAATCGATATTAGGGACGACTATGAGGTTTTGGGGAGAGCTTT